CTAAAATAACTCTAAAATGTGTATATACAACATATTTACAACAAACATATAAAAATAGTAGTATGATAATATGGTAATACTAATGTGTGTGTGTGTGTGTGTGTGTGTGTGTGTGTGTGTGTGTGTGTGAGAGAGAGAGAGAGAGAGAGAGAGAGAGAGACATGCTAGTCACACTTTTCCAGTGAATATATAGCCTAAAGTCTTGCCTGGAAAAAAATGTAGATACAGTTTATTGTTTGAATAGTGGGGCATATTCTCACAAATAAAAGTGGTCTGTTATAACCTTTCAGCAAAGTCTAAACAGTTTAATGAAATAGGATGCAAAAAAAAATATAGCCATTGCTTTAGCCAACAATTATTGTAATGAATAAACTGTTTACATTTCTAATATTTCAAATAGTCCAATCTGTCTTATTGTCCCTGCATGAATGTATGTGAGTGAGGTTTTATCATCTTAACTTGTTTACCTGAAACACTGCAAAAATTAGGATAGAAACAAATCTAATTAAAGAGAGGTCTGACTTGAAAACAACATTAAAAAGCAACAGTTAGAGAAAACATATATTTATGTAATTTGACTTTGACTCAAAACCATATAGTTACTGACATATAGCCCGTGTGTCAACTAGACCTGCAGTATATGTCATAGAGCTATTTATTATTATTATTATTTCTTTATTGACTTATGCAGGTAAACCACAGGAATTGGGTTGTCACTGTTTTCTCGTGTTGTTACATTTTAGTGTTCAGTGGCAAAATCTTCCTGATCTTTTATGGCCTCATTGGCTGTGCAGCCACCATTTTATTTTTCAATCTGTTCTTGGAGAGAATAATAACAGTGTTGGCTTTTGTTCTCAAATCCTGCCATGAAGTCCAACGGCGACGCAAAGGAGTTTTACCTCACGACAGCAGACAAGACGCGAGGCTAAATCGTGAAGACAGTCTTGCAGGATGGAAGCCCTCAGTGTATTGTGTGATGTTGATCCTTTGCGTGGCAGCAATAATCATTTCTTGTTGTGCTTCGGCCATGTATTCCTCAATCGAGGGATGGGGATATTTGGATTCACTCTACTTCTGCTTTGTGGCATTCAGCACCATTGGTTTCGGGGATATGGTCAGCAGCCAGCGGGCCAGCTACGAAAACCAAACCATCTACCGAATCGTCAATTTCTTCTTTATTTTAATGGGCGTTTGCTGCATTTACTCACTGTTCAACGTCATCTCTATTGTTATCAAGCAGGTGCTCAACTGGCTCCTGAAAAAGCTCGAGATACCATGCCGTCACTGGCCCAGGAGGTCTCTCCGGCCCCGTAGAAATGCAGTCATGCCAGCCCATGTCCGAAAACGTGTTCGCAACATATCCATAGACACAGATGCCGTGAACGACAGCGAGACTGATGGACGCAGGATGTCTGGAGAGATGATCTCCATGAGAGACTTCCTGGCGGCTAATAAGGTGAACCTGGCGATCATGCAGAAACAACTGTCTGAGACTGCCAACGGCCATCCCAGGCCATGCGGGTCAACAAATAGGCACAATGGATTCTCTGGTGGGGTTGGAGCCCTGGGCATAATGAATAATAGACTTGCAGAAACCAGTGCGGACAGATAAATATAACCTTTACAAACAAAACAACACAACGACTTTAGCTAGTATTACGTTTATAATACAGATGTAGGCTCGTACATGAAGTCTCTTGTGTGTGTGCAATGCTGTAGTTGAAATATCCATTGTTGCTCTGAAGGTAAAGAGAACGGAGAACTCAAGCTCAGGTCTGTTTCTAAGATTGATGTGCTGGGAGAGGCTTTGCTGCACAGAGTTTCGACTCAAACTTTCTTATGATTGCAGGGTTTGTTTGTTTTTTATTGGAGGATGTTGCAATCAGGTTTAGCACTTTGTATGGCAAAAAAAAAAGAACACATGGGATCTACAGAACAGATCTTCAGTGGGGTGTCCAAAGTCTGAGACCACTAGTGTGAATGTATATTTATATTATGAGCATAATTCGCATGAAATGTAAACTGAAAAATTAACATGAATTTTTGAATTTCATAACTATTAATTGAAAAATAGTACTTGGCTTGTCCTTCTTTGGCTTAAATTGCAGCAGCACTCGAGCTGCATGAACTTTGGATTAAATGATCCAAAGAGCATCTTATGAACGCCTGACCTTCAGAGTAACATGAGCAATGTCACAAATTTACATATTGGACCTAGAAATAGTTCTGAATCTTAAGTATTTATTATATTAAATATAGCATATACACTACCATTCAAAAGTTTGGATTTTTTTGTTTGAAAAACAATACTCATTCAGCAAGGCTGCATTAAATTTACAGTAAAAACTTTTATAAACTTACAAAATATTTATATTTCAAATAAATGCTGTTCTTTTGAACTTCAATTCATCAAGAATCTTTAAAACATTTATCATGGTTTTCACACAAATATAAAACAGCACAACTGTTTGTAACATTGATTATAAATGTTTCTTCAGTACCATAGCATATTAGAATTATTTCAAAAAAATAAATAAATAAACAACTTTACCATCACAGGAATAAATTGCATTTTAAAATATATTGAGAAAGAAAACAGTTATTTTTAATTGTATAGTTTTTCAAATTATTACTGTTTTTACTGTATTTTTGATCATATAATTGCACCCTTGGTGAGCACAAGAGACTTAAAACAACAAAAAATATTGACCGTGAACTTTTGAATATGCATGCATGCATGCACCTATAGGGTCTGAGATTTTCATTGTGGTGTCAGACTTTTGGACTTGTCTTTCTGTCACTTCTGTCAGCTTCTGCCACTTACTAGTGGAGCATTTCTTTTTAGGTTCAGCTGAACAATCTAAGTGAAAATGTGATGCAAATTACATTCATTCACCAGTAGCTTACTATCCTCTTCACTGTGCAGGTATGTAGATATGGACGTGAGGCATAAGGTGCAACAGTTAAGAGACAGCCCGCATGCCACCTGTTTCATGATGTTATAGCTACTGCAGATGCTTCAGTGAGTCTAGCAGCTGTATAGAACTCATGACTTAACAGCCTATTGATTGCTTGAATTGCTTATCAGGTGTTTCAGATGAACTGAAACGAATGTGCAACAGAACAAAATGAACAATGTCGTTTTGAACTGTTCATGAAATATGTGCAATGCCAAAATATGATGGGTATGATGCAGGACATCAAATCATTTTCTCCAGCACTTTGTATCTTGAACTTTGAAACCTGCTTACTTTATTTTGAGGTGAATGACTGTATGTAGAGATGCAATGCATGATGAATTATAATAAAATATGCTTTGACAGTTTTGCTGGGAAATCGTGCAAATGTGAGTGCATGATCTTGCGTCTCGGTTATGGACTGTACTGAAAACTACTTTAGAGGTTACATATATAGGGCTATTAATATTAGCCTACTGAAATAGCCTACTATTGCAGCGTTTATCCTGCTAGACCTATTGTTGTGTACTTTGTAGGGTAGGCTACTATTTTTTCTTAGCAGAAGCTTTAAGATAATAGGCTATACATTAATATTTTCAAATAATTAAAACTCAAACGATATTTCATGTCCACATATTTATTTATTTGGTGATTGACAATGATAACTATATTGGATGTATGAGATTACTGTTGTGCAAATCAATATCTCATAATGCAGGCTGTTATTTGACTGAACAGCGGGTAAGTGAATATCCATTTCTTTAGGTTGGTGAGTCCTGTCATGTCTGTGTATGTGTGTCATGACTTTCCTTCCATGCCACTAGTGTGGATATGATTCTGCTGTCACTTCAGGGGAATCTCAGAGGTGATGTGAAAGCCAGCAAAAGCAACGCAATGGATTTCCAACCTGTTTCCAAGCAGCAAAGGAAATAGATGTTTTCTAGCATATTCTAGTCTTCTTATTTGTTCGTTTTGTGCATTCTGGGCTGTCAAAATTAGTGAGTGGATCAATGCAAAGTCAATGAGCCAAAACAGTCATATTGTTGCACGCCTAATGCACATTTCTTGCCCTGTTTGCACAATTACAATAATATAATCGACTCAAGAAGCCCTGGGTTATTTGGATGTGATTTGATTTGGAAACACCAGCACATACATAAAGTCTAGGCTGCAAATAAGCTTCCGAAGATACCGTTCATTGAACTCAAACACCCACCATATTTAATGCTGTATGGGGTAAGTTGTCATTCAATAGGTATTTCAGCTAAAACTAAACGATTGTGGAACACAAAACAAAATGGTCAAAAATAAAATGTAAAGGGTAACACAAAAATATCAAACCATTGTTCTAAACAACATTTTTTAAATAATATTATAAAATTGAAAGAGAGACAAATAAATCTATTATCGATTATATTGATTATTATTATTAAATCAATATCACCAAAATGTGGTGTTTTGTGGCCACTGTTGTTGTGATTGCGGTAAATGTCCACTAGAGGGCGGTCGTATGTAATAAAACTGTGAATCCCCTGTGAAGGTGTTGTAAGAATTTCATTTAATCCAGTACAACCAAACATACCTTTTTATCTTTTAGGGTTTTTTGACAGTTTCCCCCTCACACAATTAATTTCTGATAAAATGTATGTCTGTGAGTCTTTCGTTAAAAGTACTATGTCGAATAAATAGTAAATATGTACTCTAAAGGGGAAAAAAATACTTTATCTCGTTGAAAACATACATCTGTATGATATGTATAATATTAATAATAAACTAAATTCATATTTCGGAGAAAAAAGAGAGAGAGGAATATAAGCAGTAAACTCCACATTCTGTCGTCATGTCCTCAGCGAATAAAAAGTCTGAAATGACATTTTTGTCCGTGCAGCAGTTGGTGAAAAATGATCGAGGATGAAACTGTACCATATTCCACTGGATTTGTAGTCCGGCGCTCGACGAACTCCCATTAAGTGTGACTATCCCGTCCGCCGAGAGGAACTACAACTCCCATGAAACCACCGCAGCGCTTCTGTTAATATCAATATGGCTTCAGTCAGTCAGACAAAGGCGAATCAGTTTTTGCCTTGATATGAAATCAAATTAGGGAACGGTAGCGGGAGAGTCGGACATCGTCCTGTTTTGCTGGTTCATGTCTGGCGACGGGGATTAAAGGGACGGAAACACTGTCAGTTGAGTTGAATAAATGCTGTGGTGCACGGAGGCCCCGCACGCGCACAATCAGGTAAATCTGAGATGCCAAATTATAAGAAAGGCGACATTTGGTAAATCTGTCTGGAGACATGAAACATGCATTCACGTGTAAATGGCGCTCGGGGGGAACTGAGCTCGGTTCGACCGCTGGTTCGCATGTAAAGTTACATCTGCTCCCATTCTGTGCTGGGATAGGGGTTTAGAAAAGAAATGCCAGCAACTGTGCAACAACTGACACTATGTTGACATTGGTCAAATGAACTAATAGTTGTGTTGATGCTCATCTCTTTGCATTTATTACTATGACTGTTATTATGCATGCATATATATGCGTATATTTATATATTATTCTGTTTTGTGTTTTAACAAGGTGCTGACAGCATTCTAGAGCTGTGTTATTTGGGTATAGGGTGTGTTTATATTAGGTTAAGGTGACGTCTGGTAAATATAGGCTTGATAGTTCATGCAAATTTGATTTAATGCATTTTTTTCAAAAGCAGTTATTTTTTATTTAGGGAAGGTGGCCCTATTAAGACCACCTAAATTCAAAGTTGTGCATCTTTTTCTTATAGATACTATATGTTAATAGTTTTTAAATAAAGTGTATGCATTATGCAATATAGGAGTAAACACGTTATTGTTGTCATAAACTGATCAAATTAAATTGCTTAATTTATTTGCAAATATGATAAATCCAGATTGTTTTTCTAGTGTAAAGTGCATTTGTATCCCATCATGCTTTTTATTGTAAATTCTTCACATTGCATTATATTAAATAAAATAATTTAGATGCATTTTTGACTGACCAACCTACCTGCCAAACTGCTGATGAAGCTAAAATATGGATTATGGTTTAGTATTTTGCGCTTTCCAGCATCTATTCAACAATAAAAAAAGTCAGTCTGGATGTTTCTCTAGTCTTACCGTGGTCCTTTCAACCTGTTCTTATCACTTACCTTAAGACAGTTTGCCATTTCTCTGGCTGAGCAGCATCTTTCTGGATTCTAGCTTTCATTCCCAGTCTCAGTTTCTTCATACCAGTGCAGCAAGCTTGAGAGACTTCCCTTTTTTGGGCCATATTTCATTTTCTCAGAGTGGCCAGTTTGTCTCCACAATGAAAATAATGTAAGCGGGTAAAGTTGATCAAATAAAAGAATGTGTGTATTCAGTTAATGTTTTTATATGCGGTGAAGTGGCTTTTTGCTTAGTAGGCTTATGTGAAGCAGGGAATAAGGGTTAACAGTGCACATTATAAGCATTCCTTATAAGCCCTCGTGACAAATAAAGTGTTATGTTTATGGATTATAATTACTGACACAGCTTAAAATCTTTGTAGTCCCCCCCCCTCAAATAGTTTGTATAATATTTTCATTTAATATAATTAGTGTGTTTATTTATACTTTTTTTTAATTATTTGTAAGTTTTGTTGTTGTACTGCATCTTTGTGAGCATCATTTAGGCGGTGTCATGTGCTTGTTACAAATATGACCTAGAATAAATAATTTGAGGACGCATTTGATTTATTATCTCTTAATTTCAAATTCTTGAATTTCAGTAACAGCTTTAATATATGCAGTTTTGTGTGGCCTGAATAATCATTTTGTTTATGTTTCTGTAGAAAATGTAGATGTTCTGTAGATGCTTATCACATTCAGTTTATGTACAGATATAACTTTAATTGTAGAAGCACAGTGGGCATCAGGTACTTCAGACGACATGTTCTGGATGGTCTCTATTTTCATTGATCAGTGTGCATGAAGGTCTAATAATTACCAGCTGTCTATAGAGGTAAATTGATATTTTAAAGATCACCGTAACTTACATATCCAACAAATGGGCTGTAAAAATGGTTTCAAATTATGGAGAATTGAAGTAATAAGAGATTTGGGCTTTTTGTGGATGCCGTGCTGATGAAAAGAACCAGGGGCATATGGACAAAATCAACTTTGTTCTTGAGCTGCTGCAAAACAGATGAGTTTTTGTGCTGCTGCCTCAGTACTGTAGTTTCTTAACTATAAACTATAGATGCTTTTATGCTTCCATGCATATGTCAGATAAGACTATGAATATGCAAATAAAAGACACAATGAGCAACGCTAAACTCTAAAACTCCTTGGAGCATTAAAACGTTTTTAAAATTGCATGCACACCAGTAGCCTTGCGTTTAATGCTTGATATAGCAAGATTGCATCTCCTTTGATGATTGTTATTGTTAAAAGTAGCAATGCATTTTGCATTATTAAACAATTATTTGTGTTACTTGTTTCATGTGTGCAGGCCAGTTAACTGAGTTGGTTTGTCATCATCAAGTCAGTAGTGTGGTTTAACGCGTCTACATATGGGCGATTCTGAATTCTTGTGTCACTGTGGTTTATTGGCTAGCATATTTAAAACCGGATTTGATGTCTGAGGTGACACCTTTACATTTGGAATGTTTTTTATTCTCATATCAGAAAGACTGAAAATGTATATGTGGTGCATGCATCCGTGGGACAATAGGGGATTTTTATTTTATGACTTGTATTGTTCGGTTTCTAACGCTAAAGGCTTGTTATAAGGTATTGTTTTTTTTGGGAGATACAAAAAACGGAATATTGAACAAATCCTTAAGAACACTCCCAGATTTATTGTTGTTTTTGCTGATTTGCTGTATCTGATGCCTCTGGATAATTATACCTTTTGAAGCTTTTTAAGGGTGCTTGGGTGAGCAGAAATCTTTTTTATGCATTTTAATGCAGCGCAGACACCAGGAGACCGTCGTACTCACTCATCAGCAGAATTTATTCTTGAAGAACATGTCGCAGGGAAGTTGAAATCTTCATTTTTGTTAAAAGGAGCCTCACCGTTTTCTCGTTTACTTGATTGCATTACACTGTGCCATATGGAATGCATATTGCGCTGGCACGAGTTTTGCATTTGCAGCGTCATAAGTTGTAGCTTCCTTTTAAAACTCGAAATGAATTGAAATACGGTGTGTTGCGGGACAACAATTCGGCAGAAGCATGCGTGTGAGGGCAACAGCCTGGCATTGAGAGAACTATTCTCAGACAAACGCCCGTACGGAGTGATTCATCCTCAGTTTCTTCACTGAAAGTAGGTTGGCCGCCTCAGATGGAATTTTTTTGGCAGTTTTCCCTAAAGTTAACCTCCTTCCCCCTCCTCACGTGTCCCAGCTTTCTGCTGTTTAAAGTCTATTAAAAATTCTGTGGTAATGCATGCAGTGTCTTTGCTTTGACCTCAGACAGGCTCCGCACTTCTGTTGCAATGATTGGTCGATAAAGGTGCGGTGACTTTGACATTTTCTTGGAAAAATAATGCTTTAGTTAGGGCTCATGCGCATGCGGCCCCTGCTACACCTCCTCCACTGCATTTCTCAGACAAAAACATTGCTTTTTAGTCTAGGCTGTGTTGTTTTGACTTTTATACACTATGCAGCCATGTGTCGTGTTTTATCAGCATTTCCTTCAACATCAATTCTCTAATGCAGCAGCTCTCTCTCTTTTTCTTGGCAGAATGTCCCATTATACAGATGAGCCTCGTTTTACCATTGAGCAGATCGACTTGCTGCAGCGGCTACGTCGGAGCGGCATGACAAAGCAAGAGATCTTGCACGCCCTGGACACCCTCGACCGGCTGGACCGCGAGCACGTGGAGAAGTTCGGCCACCGGCACGCCCACGGCGGGAGCGGGGCGGCCGACGTCAATCACGGCAACGGCAGCAATGCCACCACCTCTTCCAACTCCTGCACTACCTCCTCTAACAACCTCACAGCCTCTTCTTCGACGACCTCTACAGCCACGCAGACGGGATACCGTAGCAATGGCCTCTCTCCCTCCCCTAGCAACAGCTATGACACCTCCCCGCCCCCGATGGTCCCCACCCCCGTGCCGGTAGTAGCACCCTTGGTCCAAAATGGACGGGACCTCGCCGCTATGCCCAATGGGAAGCTCTCTCCGCCCCGCTTCGCTGTTAGCAACACCTCACGGGCCTTTGCATACGAGCACCCAGATGAGGAAGTGGACATCGATGACAAAGTTGAGGAGCTCATGAGGTAAGTGGGAAACTCTCGGGATGGGACGGTTCTTATTTTATAAAAAAAAAAACTGGATGGTTACAATACAAAAACAATATGAACATTAAAGCTGCAGGCAGCATTGAAAGGGCCCTCGCACCCGGGCTCACCTCTTGGCAGTGGTGTTATGACTATAACTGAATATGGCCATGGGCATGTGTTCAGGACAGGATCTTTTCAAACATGTGAAATTTGGGGCAGATCGGAAATTGTATGCCTGAATTATAACAACTTCCTATTTCATGGGGAAACATCGAAGTTTGTCAGGCCGCCTGACAAACTCAGTATCTTCGCAATTTAACGTCAACAAAGGGCTTTAGATTGTTAGGTATTGGTGTGTTACATGTGTCTACCAAATTTCGTACATGTATTTGAAACAGCTCGAGAGGCAGTTCGTTGAAATTTTATAGGTGGTGATATTGAGCCATTTTGCCACACCCACTTCTGAAACCCATATCAGATGTCAATTTTCGCCACTTCTGACTCGTGTGCAGAGTTTCATGAGTTTTTGAGCATGTTTAGGCCCTCAAAAATGCGATTCATTTTGGAGAAGAAGAAGAAACTGAGCAATTCCAATAGGATCCTCGCATCACCTGTGCTCGGGCCCTAAAAAACAATGAAAAACTGTGTAGTCTACTTCGTGATGAACAATTGTGTTTTGAACTCGTCAGCCTAAAATGTCTTACTTATTAGCTTTCATTCATATCTGAACTGAAATAAACTGTGTATTTGGATGATGCATCAAAATTCTGTGTAAAAATAACAACAAAAAACGTTTGAGTTAATGAACAGTTGTCTCTTACGAACAAATCTTTTACATATATCATTCAAAATAAGTCACAAATGAACTCATCAGCCAAAAATTCCTCAATCATTAAAACTAGATTTGACTTGGTCATTAACCTTGGTCATATCTGAACTCAAATAACCCGTGTATTTGGTTGCTGTATCATAACACTCCCAAAAAATCCCAGTGCAGTCCAATTCATGATCAGTTGACTTTTATGAACAATTCTTTTACACGAATCATTCAAAATGAGTCGCACTCACAAATCAGTCATGTCAGTCACTCATTAACATTGGTCATATCTGAACTGAAATAAGCTGTGTATTTGCAGGTTGTGAAGCTTAAATTAGTGTTATTAATACTGACTGGTTGTTGATATGACAACATATAGTTAAAGACAAGCATTACGGACATTTTTGTTGTATAAAAATGGCTCTTTAAGAAATGTTGCCAAAAATAGTGTTGATGTTTTTCATTTGATGTCTCTCTCTCTGTTGTTGTAGAATGGACAGTGCTATAATTAAAGAAGAGATTAAAGCGTTCTTGGGGAACCGGCGAATATCACAGGCAGTAGTTGCCCAAGTTACAGGTTAGTTTGCTCTGGCTTTTTGTTTTCCAAAAGGAATAACAAATATATTGTGATTTATCCTGTGACTGTGATATATTTCCCTTGTTATTTTGTATAATAAAAAAGAGAGCCATTAAAGCACACCTTAATATTTTGTTACTTCTAGCATAATGCTATAAACGAATGTCAGCTGTAGGGCTGCTTTTTATTACAGTTGTGGGATTTGTCATGGCAGGCCTTCGAGAGGCATATGCAAGTCAGATTTTGCCCTCAGAATCTGTGTGTTGTTGTCTGCAGGTATCAGTCAGAGCCGGATCTCTCATTGGCTGCTCCAGCAGGGCTCAGACCTCAGTGAGCAGAAGAAAAGAGCCTTCTACCGCTGGTACCAACTAGAGAAAACTACACCTGGTAATACCCGACCCCAGTGTCATTTACCCATGTAGGACGTCCAACAACTTTCTAATGTTTCTATCATCTAATAACTTTAAACCCAAGACTTAATTTAATGATTGTGTACATGCTAATTTCCCATTTTTACATTTCATACTATGTTTTGCTATGCTCACTTAATTAAAAAAAAGCACAAATAATTTAATCTTTATCAAATCTCAAAATGAATATGTATTTTTCATGCTGTACATTATAATGCTGTGATGTGTGAAGTCAGTTTTAAGATGATCGATTTTATGTTTAGGTTATTTATTTACACAAAATAGTATAGAAACTTAATAGCTAACACATAATACGGCCCTGTGAGGAGGAAGGATTCACTAAGGTCCTCTCTGGTGTGTACTCAGTGGGCATGTCATAATATCTATCATAATATGATAAATAATATCAATACAACATTGAGGTGGTAAAATAGTTCATAATTTGTATATTATTATTATTGTTTATTTATTTATTTTTATAGATTCTTTCTTTACAACACAATATGACAATTAAAAATCTAAAATCATAGAAATCATAATTCTGTATAAACCAAATGATATTTCGTGATTGCAAAATTGGGTAAAACAAGCAGAGAGGCCTTTCCAAAATTTAGATTTTTACAAGTTGCCATATGTATGATTTATTTTATTGTTTTGTCATTTAATACTGATTCTGTTGTTTTAATTTGTGAATGTTTAATATTCTTGCAACATTAAATGACATTAAATAGTGCTTAATATAAACCTTAATGAAAATTAATGAAAATTTTGTCATTAATCACTTACCCCCATGTCGTTCCAAACCCGTAAAAGCTTCGTTCATCTTCGGAACACAATTTAAGATATTTTGGATGAAAACCGGGAGGCTTGTGACTGTCCCATAGACTGCCAAGTAAATGACACTGTCAAGGTCCAGAAAAGTATGAAGGACATGGTCAGAATAGTCCATCTGCCTTCAGTGGTTCAACCGTAACATTATGAAGCGACGAGAATACTTTTTGTACGCGAAGAAAAAAAAAACGACTTTATTCAACAATTCATCTCCTCTGTGTTTCTCCGCATCACCGTAGCGCCATTTTGGGGAATATCCGCTGAACGCAAGCAGCGTACGCTCTTCTGTGTCAGCCGCGCTGCACAGATGCGCTGTTTTCGTTCAAATCAAAGCGTAGAAAACGTATCCTTGTGTCGCGGCTGACACAGAAGAGCGTACGCTGCTTGCGTTGAGCGGATATTCTCCAAAATGGCGCTACGGTGATGCGGAGAAACACAGAGGAGACGAATTGTTGACTATTCTGACGATGTCTTTCATACTTTTCTGGACCTTGACAGTGTCATTTACTTGGCAGTCTATGGGACAGTCACAAGCCTCCCGGTTTTCATCCAAAATATCTTAAATTGTGTTCCGAAGACGCACAAAGCTTTTACGGGTTTGGAACGACATGGGGGTAAGTGATTAATGACAAAATTTAGATTTTGGGGTGGAGTATCCCTTTAAAAGAAAAGTTCACCCAAAAATGAAAATTCTGTCATTTACTCACCCTCAAGTAGTAGTATGGAAAAAAAATACTTTGGAAGTCAAAGACTACTGTCAAAAGATGCCAACATTCTTCAAAATATCTCCTAACTGTACCTTTTAATATAGTCATGTATACAGCATTAAATGGCACTGACAAAAAAGAATAAACTGTTCTCCAAAGCCTTTAATTTTAGAAAACCTCTTGTGCTCCTTCAGTATTTTCCAGGCTGATCTGAGGGAAGATATCAGACATTCAGTGAATAGATTAGAAGGTCATGACCCAAACCCCAGAGTGCCGGTTTTCTCATTATCATGTGCTTCCGGACCAGTGAAAAGGCTTTGGTCTCCTCAGAAGCACACAGACTGTTTTCCTCACGACACTTCATCTGAGATGACACGTCATGTTTGTGTCCCAGGTGCAACACTAGCGATGCGGCCCGCCCCGATGGCCCTGGAGGACATTGTGGAGTGGCGTCAAACCCCTCCTCCCATTAGCAGCACCCAGGGCAGCTTCCGTCTGCGGCGCGGCAGCCGCTTCACCTGGAGGAAAGAGTGTCTGGCGGTGATGGAGAGGTGAGAGCATGTGGTAAATTGTGTGAATGGTCAGGACAGGGCATTGTGGGTCGTTCCAGGATAATGGATGACCTTTTGATTTTGAAACGGTGATCTTTGAGGTAACACTTTACAAGAAGATTCCAATTGTTAACATTAGTTAACTACATTAGTGAACAAGAACAAACAATGAAAAATCATTAAGTAATAAAATTGAAAGTTATATCTGTTAACATGATTTAATGGACCTGAGTTAGTATAGCAAAAATGTGTAAATACTGTAACAAATGTTTATTGTTAATTAATTTTAGTTAATCCATTAGCTAATGGTAACTAAGGGAGTTTTACCTTTTTTTTAGCTGTTTAGTGTTTAACAGTCCTGTCAAGCATTACTAGCTTCATCCTCAAGGTCATGACACTACAAGATTGTTATTAGAAATGCTAATTAATAAATTAATTGATGTAATACTAATTTCTGCAGATATCCCTATTTCAATAATTCATTGTTTAATGGATAGTTGTTTATAATGCAGAATCACAGGTGGTAACAGGATTGAACAACAAACATTTTCTACAGCTTTTAATAATCACAATTTATTTTCATTGATAAACATACTATTGTTTATTCATTGTTCATTTATGTTTGTTCATAATACATTAGTCAATGTGAATTTATACAGCTTGAAATGTTAAAAATGTATCAATTTAGTATGTAGAAATATACATGAACCTAGATAATTGAATTCTGTAAAAGTACTGTTCATTACTGGTTATGACACCTAATGTATTAACTAAGGAATTTTGAACCTCATTGTAAAGTGTTAATTTAATTGACTGATTAATGCATATTTACTTGAATTATATACTTGGAAAAAAATGTCATCTTCATTGACAGATATGTAAGAATGTGTGCCATTGTTTAATTCAGTATGTTAGTGTTTGTATTAATAATTAGCTCTTTAAATGAATCTAATGATGCTGTACATATAGTTTGCTGTGGTATCTTAACTGTTATCAAGAATTGTGAAATATGACTGGTATTGACTACTGACTACTGAAATGTTGGTATTGTGACAACTGTAAAACTATCAACCTAAATCTAGATTGAACAAAGTCAAAAGGGTGCTTCTACTAAATACTGAGCAAAGGGTCTGAATACTTAGGACCATGTGATATTTCAGTTTTTCTTTTTTAATAAATCTGCAAAAATGTCAACAATTCTGTGTTTTTCTGTCAATATGGGGTGCTGTGTGTACATTAATGAGGAAAAAAAAATAACTTAAATGATTTTAGCAAATGGCTGCAATATAACAAAGAGTGAAAAATGTAAGGGGGTCTGAGTACTTTCCGTACCCACTGTATATATTAGTATACTATTTAGTATTATTTTGTATTTATATCATACATTTTTTTCATATATTTTATCCTAGATTAATTAAAAATTCATTAATTCAATAATTATTGTCATGTTATGGCTGATAATCACTATATGGTTGATATCGAAATTTAATGCTATTTTGTAAATAAAATAAATAATTTTAAATGCTGCATATGAATTTAGGAATGACAGCAGAGGTCAGTCTAAATTTGGAAATGGGGAAACTGAAAATGCACAATTAAATATCCAATACCAGCCAATATAAATCCAATAAATACATTTTTAAAAAATCAGCCAAAATTCCAAAATACACCATGAGTTATATGAACTATTTCATGCTCTTTTGTCTTTTAATGACACAAAGTCATTCAAACAGGTTTGCAGAGGCAAAAGCAGAGGGCTTCAGACCAATCTCTGGTTCTCTGCTTCCTTATAGGATGACAACCCCGGCCCAAACGAACACCAGGACCCCATAGCTTTGGCAGTGGAGATGGCCGCTGTCAATCACAGCATCCTGGCACTGGCGAGGCAGGGCGGAGCCACCAGTGACATCAAGACAGAGGTGCTGGACGATGAGTGAGAATCCTCCCTTTCATGTGGAGCGTGGAGGGAAGCCGAAGGAGAAATGTGGGGTTACGAAAAACAAAGCCAAACAGTTTGTGCGTGAACTGTTATTATGAGGAATATGGCCAGGTCGTGGATGACCAAAGTGAATGCGGAGGTTATAAAGACTGTTAACCCAACATTCCCCCTCCTCCTCCCTCCTACATGTGACGCCTCAATAGTCTTTCCATTCAAACCGTTCTCCTGCACGCAGCGGGTTGAGGAGGCGCTGCAATTAAACTGTTGATGAAACACATTCACCTAAAACTTCATGCGACATATCACCCTGCCATCTCACACTTGGATAGTGAATTTCGCCTCTCAGTTTTCCTTCTTTCAGGAAGTCTTCTTTGCAGGATATAAGAGGTCAGTATCATACTAAATGCTCACTGCCTCAGTCTCTCCAGGGAAAGTGTGTTGGGAAGCATATTCTCTCTCACTTCTTAACTTATTTCTTTATGTACGTGCAGTCCAGCGTTGCTGAAATTTTGCGTTTAAACTTGTACAGTTGTCACCAGGGTCTAAAGTTAACACTCGCCTACCACCAAATGTGTACCTGCGACTTTGCCAAGTCTGCTCTGCCAAGCATTGACAGACTAGAAAATCAAATATATATATATATATATATTGGCTAGTTGGTAAGTCTTGCTGAGAAGTGCAAAATAGTTTGGTGATTCGAAATTGACTAGTTTATTGATAAGTCTTAAGGAAGTCTTGAACATGTTTCTTTTTAGGCATCTACATAAAATGTGTTTTTGCGTTCAAAAACAGCTCTTAAGGCATGGTTTTAAAAACGTTTTAAAATGTTATGTTTAAATTACATTATTTTAAAAGTTATTTTAACTTCATATGTTGTCTTAAAAATGGCTGAGACACTAAAAAAACATTGCCATACTAGGGGTGGGCGATATGACCAAAATCAATAATTGTATTTCTCGGTAACAAAATATATCACAATATTGTTATTTTTGGTCTTTATGATATAACATTTTTTGATACCATTACATTTCATAAGTCTTGTCATCAGTGTCAATATCACCCAAAACTAATACTAGCCGAGAAAAAAAAACCTCATGCTCACTGAAGACAAGTGAACAGTCAGCGATTAAACAAGAATAAGACACTAATTACAAGCAACAGGACAAAAAAAAAACTACAGTGGAACAAATAAATAACAAATGTTACATACATTGTATAAGTAATCAAAATGTATAAAAACACTTCATTTTCTTCACTGTGTAAATTAAATACATATATTTCTTCTCATTAAAGTTACGAAAGTCAAAAGCAGTGAGAGATTTTCTCTCTTTTGTTGTTTGATAACATGAATGACAGACAGCAGGACTATTAGACTGCTGTCACTTTAAGAGCTGCCCGAATTCAGTATACTGTTACACGTGTGTTTTCTTTCTCAGCTGTTTGCTTTCACTTAAGACCTAAATTACTGTTTATGAAGATATTTGCAAAGATGGGCATTTTGACATACAAGTGTGTCTATTTAACCGTTCAAAGCTTATAAAATAACTCTGTTCAATATTTCTGTGCTCTATGAGCACCGTCTTCACGTGCGCGTTTAACCGCAATAGAGACGATAGTCCAAATTCTCCACCCGATATTTCGCCCACCCCTATGTGATACACAGTGCAACAGCCAAAGACGTATTTCTGAATGTTTCACCATGTAAAATATATTATAGCTAATGTGTAGCATGTTAATTAAAGCTTCACCACTAAAATATCTAAACTAAAAGCAGCAAAAAATGGAAACGAAAATTGAATAATTGGTTGAATGATTAATTGTAACTCATAATAAACATATTACATGTCTTAAAGGAATTTTTTTTTTAATTTGCTGCAAATGTACTCCCCTTTAGGCCATCCAATATGTAGAGTTTGTTTCTTCATCGGAACAGATTTGGGGAAATTTTGCATTAAGTCACTTGCTCACCACATAGATCCTTTGCAGTGAATGGGTGCCGTCAGAATGAGAGTCCAAACAGCTGATAAAAACATCACTGTAATCCACACAAATCCTGTCCATCAAATAATGTCTCGTGAAGCGAAAAAGCTGCATGTTTGTAAGAAACAAATCTATCATTAAAATATTTTTTAACTGTGACGCAATGCTACATTTGTCCAAATCTGTTCCAATGAAGAAACAAACACATCTCCATCTTAGATGGCCCGCGAGTGAGTACATTTTCAGCAAAAAAAGAGCAGCATTTTGCCCGTCGTTAACTCTTTCCCCGCCAGCATTTTTGAAAAAAAGTTGCCATCCACCGCCAGTGATTTTGATTTTCACTCAAATTTGATGGCCTCCAGAATATTTTGCTGTATGAATATTTGAATATGCAATACACCAAAATAAAGATCAGAGCCTCTACTTTTTAAACAAAACAATCCGTTTTATTCTAGCTTAAAGCATTCTTTTTTAATCAACACTTGAACATAGGTAGGTTTCATAAAAATGCATAATTTTGAGCAAAAAGGTGAGAAAATCACATTATCAAAAACTACATCTGGGTAATATTCAGTACGATTATCAAAGCATAAATCCAGTAAATCGCTTCTATCAACACCTCCAAAGCTTGCACAGACATACACCACTTCCTGGATCAACATTTTACTCCGTAACATTATGCAGTTTTCATTTATATGCTGTCTATTGCTGATGATCGCATTATTTTTCATATGCATCTGTTAAGGGATCGCTCGTTTCTCCGTCCTGTTCACGTGTGTTTTTGTTCGGGAGGTTTTGTACTCGTTCAGAAGATGTGTAATAGCGCCCTCTAGTGTATAACAGTGAAAACATGAAAAGCCGTAAAAACTCGTCTTTGGCGGGGAAGCGTTGTCTTCTAAAAGATGAGATAACTCGTTAATGGCGGAGCGGGGAAAGAGTTATTCAGTGGCATCTGTTGCGACTCGCACGTTTTGTCACTATTAGGCAGAAAAACATCAAAATTTTGTTGTAGAATAGTTTAAGTAAAACAAAATAGTTTTATGACCAGTGTGAAATTGGCAAAACGTTAATTGTGGACCCTGGTTGTCAGCGTCAAAGTTGCATAGGACTGTTTTTGCAGTACCATAACCGGCCTGCTGGCTTCAGCAATTATGTATTGCACTTTTAATTACTAGCGGCAGCTTATTTCTGTTCCTGCCGCTATACACAACTGTGCATCTCTGCAGGGAGGCGTCGAAGGCTGTCTGGAAACTGAAGCCTACTCGTGAAGATTGTGCCATTATATTTCAGCATTAGCAGACTAGAAATTCAGTCGGGCTCTTCTGCAGGCCTCTCTAAAAGCAATCAGACAACAGCCGTTTATTTGAACGTATATAACCTCAAAGTGTTCTACTCGGCCAATAACTGTGCAAACGTTTCAGCAGCACGCGGCTGGAAAATGTTGTAGCATTGGGAATTTCTTCGTCTCGGCGAACACTTGACAATCAGGGTGACGACGTTCCAGTACAAAAAAAAACCTGTTGGTGTTTGCCCACGTGTCTAAATATGGGGTTTCTTCCATGGGGATTAATAACCGTTATTTCCGAAATTAAAGTGGATTTAACCACTCTAATAAATATCCCATGTAATTGCTTGTTTGTTTTTTTGTTGAATAATCATAAAATGCCACTTTAAGGGGGAGGGTTATGGTGCTTTGGGTTCTTTACCCCAACATATACACTACATATGTTGTTTTTTTTTGTTTCATTTATCTGGTTCTGTTTCAACGAAAGAACAGAAGAGGGATGGACTAGTTCAGGTTATTTTTATTTGTGCTTCAGAACTGAAATATGGTGCTTGTTTTAAAAAAAGGAAAGGAGATACTAACCACATGCCCTCTCCCACCTTTTACAGTCTTTCCTCTTTGCCTTTTAGGAAGCTGCTTTCTGTGTGTAACGCACATCATTGCAGTCACAAATAAGCTTTTTTTAGACGTATCAAAATAGCTATCGGATGACAAACCTGTGAAAAGTATCAGCTGCTTCAAAAGTTCTCTCAGAATGTCTGAAATACCATTTCAACACCTTTGTTCCTATTGAGCGTTAGATTTCAGTCGATGAGATCGCCACTAGCTAACAAACAAGCTCGTATTTAAAGAGCCGAACGTGAATTTTGAACATGGGCTTCAGCCTTAATGCAAGTATTTTTAAGCACTTAAATTCAACACGTCATTTCTGTGAAAAATTAACTGTAATGACGCTGTTTAAGTTAACGTTAATATTCCTAGACACATTTATTCCATAAATCTACATAAGCTTAACATAAATGTACCAAGTCTATTTGATAAAATATGTATCGAAAGAATATTGTATGTTAGGAGAGAATATTAATTGGAAATGAAATTTCTCACTTTAGGAAATTCTGCTAAGCAGATAAATCTGTCAAATGAGACTTGAGAGAAATGAGTCTCTAGTTATGCCTTGTAATTTGGTTGAATTAAATCAAGTACAATCTGTTCCTTTGGAAGGGTGACCGGGGCTATTTGGCACATTTTTTACTTCAGTGAGTATTTGACATTGTATTATTATTGTTACTGTATATAGAATCAAACTTTACAGACTAGCAGTGCTAGTCACATTAGAAAACCTGCTGTGTATAAACAGATTTGAGAAAACACCATTAAAAAAAATAATAATTTTTTTATATACACACACTCTCTCTCTCTCTCTAAAAAATAATATTAAACATCACGTTTCATATGGATTATTGCAAATACATATTTGTATTTAAAATATATTATTATTGACTTGGCTTTTCAGGAGAAAAAAAATGTTAATCTTGGAAGGGTGACCGGGGCTATTTGGCACATTTTTTACTTCAGTGAGTATTTGACATTGTATTATTATTGTTACTGTATATAGAATCAAACTTTACAGACTAGCAGTGCTAGTCACATTAGAAAACCTGCTGTGTATAAACAGATTTGAGAAAACACCATTAAAAAAAATAATAATAATTTTTTTATATACACACTCTCTCTCTCTCTCTAAAAAATAATATTAAACATCACGTTTCATATGGATTATTGCAAATACATATTTGTATTTAAAATATATTATTATTGACTTGGCTTTTCAGGAGAAAAAAAATGTTAATTCAATTAGCTTTGGCTAAAAAATTTGTAATGAATTATACAAAACTACAATACATAAAACTTGACAATTTGCCCCAACCTGAATTTTGAACCTAAAATACTTTTAAAAATGGAATCTAAGTTTATATCCACTGTATATATATATATATATTCATATAAGAAAATCAGTAAAAATTTAATATAAAGCAAAAAATATCAAATTAATGTTTTGGCTAACAGAAATTTTAATCAATTGTATGAAATTACAGCTTTTTCAACTGAATTCTGAATCTAAAAAATACATTTTATATCTGTTTAAATCTGTTTTCATTATATAATTGTAATGCAGATTTGGTTTTATTGCATTCAGCAGCTGTTAGAAAAGATATTGACATATGAATGCAAAATCAAGCATTGATGCATCTTTGTTTTTTTGTAGTTACTGAAATATAATCCTTGTGACAATTTCCCTATGTGACAACTAGCCCCGGTCTCTGTTTTGTATTTCAGAGTTTTTCATTAAACCTCAGTTAAAATATTAGATGCTATTATAGCGAGACGGTGAACAGTATTGCAAACTGCCAATCATACTTTCAGCTGAGAAAAGTGTAGAATTGTCCTCGAAATGTGTTAAGTCAGCTGGCATCGCCAACCCAAATTTGAGCGTAAAGTGTCGTAAGCTTGCACAGCAATCATGTAGTCTTGTATATTTTATTATAGGATACAGACAGTCCAATCTTAGTAAACGCTTTCTTAGAAACAGTATTGAGGCACAATGTGATGATGGACTAGTGCCCAGTCAGTTACCCAGAAGTCTTTATTAAGCTAGTGTTGGAATGTGTTTGGAACAGAAGTCTCTCGTGAAAGAATGAGGGAACACTTTGACTGTGTTTTTAATCTGTCCATGTTCAATATGTGAATATATTAAATACATATAAATATATTCTGAGTATAAAAAAAAATTCAAAATATATCACTGTTGTATTAACTTGAAATAGTCTAATCATGTATCTCTTATTACAAAATTTAGTGCCTTTTTTGGACAGTAGACTGTTCTGTAATTAATATGTAGTATAAAACGCATATGCTATTACTTTTTTAAGTTTTGTTTTGACACTTGTTCATTTTCAAACTTTGTTTTGAAGTTGTTTTTATTTTAGAACTGTACCTTCTAGAGAATAAAAACTTGAGCTGAAAGACACCGTCTGATCATACTTTATACATCACTTCAGAATTATTAAATAGTGCATGACAATTCTGACTATTCCTAATTCTGAAATTGTAACTGGATTGTTATTTGAAGACTGAAGACAATAATTTGATATAAATGTGTGCAGCTGCTCTTTTCCATGCACAAAAAATAATAATTAGCGGTGTTATTTTGAGAGAAAAAAAAAAGAATTAAAAAGGTCAAAATTTGAACATGGGTACTTGAATATTTTCCCTCCTTCAAGTCAAGGTAAAGTAGGCTAAGACTGGAACCCCTAAAACACACTAAATAAAATAAAAAAAACAGTAATAAGACAAGAGTAAATCAGTTCACTTTTTATTTTTCTTTACAGCCAGATTATTGTACAGTCAATATAAAAGAAATTATAAATGAATTATTATACATGATTATTCTTTGGATATCAGCATAGAATTGCAGATAATTAAATTAATCAAACCCAGCCTTGTGCTCAGATTGAATTCTCAAGATGCAGTTATATACAAAACACACACACACACACACACACACACACACGTATACTCTGGGTTCAAACGCTCCATATACGGGACAACTTTCACGACATAAAATCATCAGGACGAGGCACAGACTAGTGGTGAAAGATGGAGCCGTCCACTCACTGCTCACAAAAAAGGGGGGGGGGGGGGAACTACAAAAGTAGAGCAGCAACTTCCTGCCAAGAGCTTCGTCCGACATCTGTGTAAACATCAGGGCCCAAAGCTTCCTTCAAAACCTTTCTCCTGATGCCCTTTATGGGAAGGATTTCAAACAGGAGGAAAGCACGAGTCTCCACACCTGTATTTAGTATTTAACTTCAAAAGGCCACTGTGTGGTTGCTCAGATATGGCTCTGGATCGATGCCATTTGTGACAGATCGAGGTGTCATTACAGCTACTGCAGACGTTGAACAGAATGGATGTAGGGTGCATTCAACCGTTTTAGTGAAGAAAAATGGTAAATTGCACTTGAAAACAAAAACACCTAGTACACATCTAGTTAAAAGCAACTATGATTGAAATGTTGGGCCGTGGAGATCAGCTTACTGAAAATGTCTTCAATAAGTTCATTTCCCCTTTCTTTTTAAAGTAACTCATTAGGTTCAAAACAATGAACCATCAAATTGCTACAAGCACTTTTAATGTTATTGCTACAACAGAAATGTATTAAAACTTAGTTGAGACTTGTCATTCTAAAGGCAATCAATCTATTACCTTTAAATTAATACTTAAAGAATGACTAGTTACTAATGTGAGCCAGTAGGACTTCAAATCCTACTGTCTGTAGCCATGGTGCTAATCAAAGCCACAAAGACGTGCGCGTTTGTTTTTTCTCATTATGAATGAGGCACAGATCAAGATACATTTAAAAAAAAATCAAAATCAAATTGTGACTGAACACAAACATCAACACCACACTACAGAAGAATGAAAGGCAACTTCAAACTGTGGAGAAATGCATGTTCTCTCGGATGGAAATTTTGAAATGTTTTTGACTTTTGAGCACCAAATCCAGTGAAAAGCAGATTTACAGTGGATCTTCGGTTAGTTTACAACAAAACTTAAGTACCCTTTGGGCACATAAGCTATCTACTATAACCCAAATGTGCAAATTAATTTTCCATTCAAGGGATTTTTACACTTTATAAATTCAATTTACATAACTACAACCATTAAAATATATTTTAATAACTTGATATTGCATTAGACTTCAGAAATCACATGATGATTTCCACGAATAGAATATAAAAGGAACGAAATAACACACTTTTTCCTCCATCATGATGTGAATAAGCATAATATCTGCATGGAATCATGCTCCTTATTAAAAAAAACTATATAAATGTGACCACTTTGCCCATACAGTATGCTAAAAATATTGAATGAAATTACTTTTAGATTTTTAATTTGAATAAATAAGATGAAGTTTATTGCCAGTAATTGGTCCAATACACAAAACTGGAATGTGCTTTAACCGTGACCTTCTTGTGGAAGACAGTCTTTTAGAAACCAATCAAACTGAGCCACTTTAAACTGCAGCACAAAGTTATCTGAGGTTGAAGTAGTTTCAATAACCCTATTCCAATTAAAAGGCTGTAAATAAGACCCTTTAAAATATTTTTTCAGTCCAATCATCAAAACCATTAAGAGAGGGTCTAATTAAGCCAGTCAATTTAACCTGAATGTGCCAATTCAGTCAAGTCTAAAAATTCACCATGAGCAATTAAGGATACACACCAAGCAGGTGGGTTCCTCCAAAAATACTGATAGGCAATTCTTCCAATGATAACAAACCAAATAAAATATCCCATCTTGTGGATATAGCCATCCAATCACTGGTCAAGTAATAGCAGTACTCCACAATGAAGAATGAGAAAACATCAAAAACCTACATTAACCTGCTCAGGGCAGCACCTATGGCAAAATACATGCAACCCCCCGATAGTGGCTTGCAGCTGCAAACCCAACTGGGCATATCCAAATGACTCTGATTGGATCCCTGAGATAATCTCTTACATGTCTACCATACCATAGTGTTACGAAGGTGTAGTGAGGGATGCCAAACAAGAAATGGGTTGACTTGAAAGGCACATTCAGGAAACTAAAAACAGACTAAAATCAAGCATCATTTGTAGTATCAAGTCCAAAAATGGACTCTTGATAAAACCAGGGCACAAACAAAAATGATGGGTTGATCTCAAAGACCCGGCAGATTCATTTACGGTCAACTCAAAGAGACTTGCTTGAGTTACCAAACCATGGAACACAGCTGAAGCAGCATATTAAAAATTGATAGCACTCCCACATGCTACACATTAGCATAGCACCGAAACTGATAGAGGGGTTTGTGAGGGAATGTTGTACCACCATCCATGCAAAGTTGGGTATCAGAATGCTCCATTAGCCCAAGCACAGTGATGGATGGAGTTGAACTCCTCGGTTAGATTGAGATGTTGGAGGTGGAGGTTCTGTCCTGCTCAGCTCATTGTCAATTAGCTGGTCCAGGATTTGCGATTCTCTCCTTTCTGAATGGCAGTGCCGGCTCCTCCCCTCAGTTGTTGACTGAACTCCCCGCTGCGGCGATTTTCGGTATGCCTTTTGGAAGCTTCTCGTCGAGTCAGTCGATCTGGACGGACTAGCACCCCGTAACCAGGGTTGCATCGGAAGTATTGGTGGCCCTCGACGGAACCATCATTCTTACCTAGTGGACAAAGGATAGAAAAGGAACAAGGTTGGTAAATTGGTCTCACCAAGGTGTCAATGTCTCAGAAAACTTAAAGGGTTAGTTCACCCAAAAATGAAAATTAGCCCACAAATTACTCACACTCAAGTCATCCTAGGTGTATGACTTTCTTCTTTCAGACGAATCCAGTCGGAGTTATATAAAAAATTGTCTTTGATCTTTCAAGCTGTTTAATGCCACTCAGCGGGTGTTGCATGCATCAGACCAAAAGAAGTGAAATAAAAAGTCTCACATGGCACCGGGGGGTGAACAAAGGCCTCCTGTAGCGAAACGATGCGTTTTTGTAAGAAAAAGATCCATATTCAAAACGTAATAATCACTTTAATGTAGCTTGCGCCAACAGTCCTACACGGAAGCAGCTCCGGGCGGATGACGTATGAGGTCAGCTTTGCGCCGCTCAGAAGTGACGCACGCAGAAGTGCAGGGGAGAGATCAAAACAAAACAACGGTCACTTATTAGAAGTACAAAACGAAGATTTGTAAAGAAGAATGTCGGAGGATTTCGATATAAGCCAAGAGGAGACTGGTTTTCCTTTGCTAAAGTAAGGAAACTTTTCTTCCTTTGCTCCTGTTAACAAACGTTGGTTTTCACGAGACTCACCGGCGCAACGCTGAACTGATACGTCATCCGCCCGGAGCTGCTTCCGTGTAGGACTGTTGGCGCAAGCTACATTAAAGTGATTATTACGTTTTAATTATGGATATTTTTCTTACAAAAACGCATCGTTTCGCTACAGGAGGCCTTTGTTTTTTTTTGGGTGAACTAGCCCTTTAAAGAGGACATGAACTGAGATATCAAAATTCCCTTGATCCTTTGATGTATAAGAGGTCTTTGTGCTAGACATTCTTTAAGTTTCAGAACTCAAAACATTCTCATTAGTCTAAAAACAGCTTATATTGAAGCCAGTCTGTCAAAACAGCAGGTTGTTGAATGTGCCACTTTATGACATAATAGTGTGGCTAAACCCCGGTTCACCCGCAGAAGATGATCAATGCCTGGTTCTACATCGCTGCCTGTTCAGCCCCGCCCACCGATTCACACAGGTAGTGTAAATAATGAGAGGCAAACGCAGGTTTTTGATTAATTTTATTTTTAATGAAGTTCCAAACCACGTCAGTAAGAACTTGGTCCTTTGTTCACTTCATTTTACCACGGATTTGTATACAAACAAGGCACAATTCGACGCAGGATTTTCAGAAAGATTCAAATTAAAAGATGACGCTGTGCCGACTATAACCACACAAGTGTGAGTAACTGTTTTTATTATATGGTCACTATTGCTTTGTTATTACAGATCGTTTGATATGTACTGAGTATTTATGCGTTTTTAAACCTAAAACACAGCAGCATCCATCTATGAAGAATATAAGCTGTCAAATATACACAACTGTTAGCCAATCATAGCAGTGGGCATTTACTTCTGAGTCTACAATCTGTCACGCCTATTCAAAACAGTACAGAAAATAGCCTATTACTTCTAAATTATGTTTTTTGATGTAAAAATCATAACATTCTAAGTGGACCTCAGAGAACAGTACAAAATAAACAAAGGTAGTTCATGACCCCTTTAATAATGGAAGATCTAACTCACCTGAGGGAGTGTCCAACTCGACCCCGACCCAGATGCCTTCGGAGAAGTGCGTTGGGCCGATGTAGCGGACCGTGCCAGACTTGTTGGATCCGGCAGTGACTCTCCCTCCCACCTTGAGCCAAGCAAGTTCCTTGGGTTCCACATCCTCGAAGGTTATCTCTAGCTTCTCCAGGCTGTTAGTTTGCATTGTGGTTGCTTTTCCATCTCCAAGAATGTTACTGAAAGACCTGAGTTCATTGGATTTGACCTTCTGGAGGGAGAAAGGGCTGTCTGTGGAGGTACTCAACACCAGGGGAGGGGTTGTATTTAGCTGTGCTTCCTGCTGAGAGATGGTGACACCATTCCTGTGGGCCGCCTGGGTATCTTCCTCTTTTCTAGGCCTGTCAGATCTTAGCCCAGCTTCTACAGGAGCAACAGAGGCATTAACAGGGGTCGGTAGACAGTCTTCGTTGTCGTGCCTGGATGCTACGGGACCCGCTTGGGAATTAGGAGTAGAGGTAAGGTCCCCGCAAGCTATGGAGACGTCGGAAAGGGTGGCAGTGGAGACGCTAGTAGAAAAATAGCCGCTGGAGGCCTCGCTGATGGGGCTCAGGGGCAGGTCATGCGGATCATGCATAGAGGACGGGGCATCAGGCCCATCTGAGTGTCTGTCTGAAGCAGGACTCTTCCCCATTACTGCAACCTATGGGGAAGGACGTCCAAAACCACAAGGAACATTTAACTACACCTCAACCTATCATCGGACTCTCACACAGAGAGCACATGCTAGGAAAACCACAGATTTAATAGCATGCAATTTACATCACATGCAGGAGAGAAAGACTGGGCTCTTAAAATATCTTCCTAGGCTATACTTTTGCAAAATACAAGTCTGTAACTCAATTCATCATTCATATTTATTTAATTTCGCCAAAGACGGAGCATGAGCTCAGAGTGGAGATCTACTTACCGGTTCTATTCTTACTCTTCCTTCATCAGGGTTGTTGGCTGTTTGCATCATTATTCGTGGCATATGCTGGAGAGATGAATGGAACGTATTAAATATGTTTTTACGATTTCGGTAATGGTTTTCAGAGAGGCGGCACAAAGCTTGATTTAAGTGTCACGAGTTCATTTTTTATGTCGGGAGCCTTTGGATTACGTTTGATCTAAAGTACTGACAGATCAAAAGTCTGCGTGCAGGGGAGGAGTGATGTACACGATGAAATATCACGGTCATATTTTTTTCCCCTCTACGCCTCCGTCGAAAGCATGCTGGGAGATATGATGAAAGGGTATGGCTTGACAATTAATCTTGGGGAAATTAAACACTAGAGTTTATCTATGGACTCCTGCCTAACATATAATCAGGTTTCCCTGACATGATTTACTTTGACAAAATGAGGACACTGTTTTAATCATGGAAAACCAAAAAAGCCTGTTTTCTCACAAAAAAAATCCACTACCAAGCAATAAGGCTTAATTTAAAGACTTAATTTTCCTCATACGAGATGGATAATAAATCACAGATACAGTATATGGGCTATGTAGTAGCATATGGAATTTCTGTCTGTATGGAAATGAGGAGGCATTAAGACAGAACGACATTACGCTAGAATCTAAAATTGACTCAAATTAAATCAGTCAAGAGGATTTGCATCCCTCTTTGATTACCACATATGATTTAGTCATCTAAATGCAGCATATTTCTGACAGGCTTTGTAGGCGCTAAAATGGCTATTTTTATGACTGATACTGTACATCAGTTTTTTTTTTTACATTTATGCATGAAATTACCCCATGGAACTACTATTGACAGGAATTTACAAACAAGAAATGTTTATAAGCATTGGTATTGCTTGTCTTTTGAATACATTTAATAATTTGAGTTCTTTGTAATGGGAACATACTTTGAAAAAATAAAGAGGTGGGTGAATCTCATCAAAAAATGTCAAGAAAAAACATTAAAAAATGCATTCACATTTATACATTAATTAATTAACTACAATTAAGCACATTTTACCCCCAAATACTACATGATATATACTAGGGCTGCACGATTATGACAAAAATCATAATTGTTGATTATTCCTTTAAAATTGTAATTGGGTTTATTCATTTACGATTAAATGAATGATGGTTACACCTTTGTTTGAAGCAACTGCATGCCATATTTTTATATGAAAATAAACGAGCTGAAAACACTAACTGAAAAACGTATTGCTTTTCTATAGTATTAAGCCTCAAATGTCAACTATACATCGGATTGGTTTCTCTTTAAATAAAAAGGTAAAAATATGCATGGTATTATAATGTTATACTAAAACTAAAACAATGGAAAAAACCCTTAAGATAACATGTAGAAAGAAAAAAAGCATCTTAAGCATACAGAATAACATAAGTGGACTTTGAACGAATAATTGCTGCTTTGAACGATTATGAAATTGTGGCATCCGTAATTGTAATTGCGATTAGAAATTTGATTAATTGTGCAGCCCTAATATATACATAACTGGACTTCAAATTTTAATATATTACTTTGCCGTAAAAATGCTTTATTTATTGTTTGTAATATTTTTATGCATGCATATTTTCTTCATATTTATTATATATTTTAAATTGTTCCTTTTGGTTTTTGGGTTAAATATAATATCAGCATAAATTAAATGCACTACAACAAACACTACATAATACACATAATTGGAATTCAAAATTGTATATACCAATTTGCCATAGAAATTCTTCATTTATAGTTTATTCTTTATATTTATATGTATGCATATACATTATTTTTATTTGTTATAATTTTTTAATAATTTTTCCTTTTGATTTTAGGGTTAAATGTGACCTGGACATTTCTTGACAGTTTTCATAAGACTCACCCAGGTGACCAAAGCAAGTTTTTAGGCATAGTTCACTAATTAAAGAGTCCAAAATGTGACCAGACCTGTTGGGAGGGTGGAGAAGGCCTCAAGTCTTTCTTGTCATCGCGAACGGGGAACAGGGACTTGAGCAGCTTGGGCATCTGAGGAACCAGGGCCTTGACTGGGGAGATATAAGAAGCAGCAAGCCCTGAAAAACCTGTGAGTGGGTTGGGAAGGAGGCAAACAGCAAGGCAGAGGTGTGGAGAAAGACAACAACGGTGGTGAAACGGAGACAGATGTAGAAAAGATATAAAAGGAGTGCATGAAGTCACAGTCACATACAAATGTCACACTGACATTTTTTGACAGATCACGAAGAGACGAGGTGAAAAGAAGCTGAAGTTGAACAAGACGGGGAGAGTTTTTCAGCGATAACCAAAAGGTTGCAGGCTTAAACCCCGAACTGGCACTATTGTACCATTGATAAAGATACAGGAATATTCTCTGTAATAAGTGGTTGTTAAATTCATAAATCAGGTTCGAAATGAGAGGTCAGTCAGTCAGTCACATTTACAGTAGAGAGCACAGAGTTGAAAGTTGAAAGGACAGTCAAATAAAGAATGGGTCATGCTGGAAACGGAAAGGAAGATTATTTTCTAATAAATCCTGTAGCGCTCACTTTAAGAGTGACCGTCATGTAGTACCTTGCTCTGGGTCCTGATTCTGTGTAGGTGGTGTAGGAGGTCTGGAAGGTCGTGGCAGTGTTTTGCTGAACTGAGGGGATGTCCCAAAGATATCCTGCTGACTCTCCCACCGATTCTTACATAAGCAAATTGGATATTAGAGGTTACATAAAAAGACCCATTTCCTGTGGTGGACCATGTGTCTTATTTTCACCCTAGAATCTTACCTTGTTGTCATCCAGCACTGAGTTTAGTGACAGATCCTGTCTGCTTCCAGATAACTAGAGGAGAAAAAGGTGATGTGTGAATACAGAATGTGCCAGGCTGTGATGATGCTGAGTTTTCTTAACATTTCTGTCTGTTAAGATGACTTTAAGGCTGCAGATGCGCTTACCCGGTGCACGCTGGGAGAGCTGAGACTGCGTCTGCTGCCCTTGCCTTTACCTGCCAAATGCTCCTTCACTGCCACCTCCTGTAGCACATGATAAAAAACTGATTTACATGATGAAAACTGGACTAGACAGCACTGGGAAGACACCATTCATTTCAGTGATATGATTCATAGCACTGCTTGTTTTAATGAACCGCTTAAAAAATGGAAAGTGCATTGACAGCATTCATGTTTCATTTATAGAGTAAAATGTTTTTAATTAAAATACTGCTGTGTATCACAGCATAAGTTTATACAGAATGAGTTAAGTCTTGTGCTTAACATATTACTCCCCTCTGTTTTACTCCCAAAGTACAGTGATTTACAAACACTTTGCGAATCAGTTAAAAGGAAAAATGAATCATTACATCTGCCACAATACTAATCAGATAAAGTCTTCCTTTAAGATTCAGATTGAAACAAAAAACTATGTACTCAAATGGATTAAATAAAATAAAAAAATGCAATTTTATCAGATGAAATTATATTAATGAATGTAGCTGTGTGACCTGTCTCAGACGGTCCAGTGTGAGGATGTTCTCCACAGCCAGGACGCTCCGCAGGTACTTCTCTATGGCAGCTTCGTTGTCTGACGATTTGGGGTTCTCAGCGCTGGCGGCCACACGGGCCAGCATCTCCCTGTCCTCTGAGCTCTGACTGTCCTGCTGACATACATAGCCGAGAGAGACAGGTGCTCGTAAACAAACAGACTGTTTATCTTTATCAGAGCAGCTTTCTTGTGGGTAATAGCAAACTAACATGGCCTTCAAGAATTGCTGAGATTTTTGCAGTGATACATATGAGCTAATGATATTTATATTATTTAATATTTTAGAATTATCAGCAAAAATTTTCAAGTTCTGAAATCTACTGACAATTCTATTCTGAATTGGTGTTATTTTAGAATTATTTATAAGACTATTATTAGCTTTGTTTTATATATATATTTTAATTATATATTTCAGTTTTAGTTTTAGTAATTGTAGTACTTTAGCTAAAACTTATTTTATTTCAGTTAGTTGCCAAAGCAACATTTAGTTTTTCATCTAATATTTAGATTTTATTATTTTTATTTTATCTGTATTTCAATAAAACAAATTAACAGTTTTAGTTACCACACTATTCTGAATTTGAAGAGAAATTATTCTATACTGTCATTGGTCACTGAAAACACATATATCATTCCGATTATGCATTACATAGACACACACAAATATATTTTTGAAAATAGATTTTGTATGCTTACCCCTGGGATGTTGGAGACTACTTCAAAGGTCACACCACAGCCAGGAACAGTGCTCCTGGTGGACATTCTCCTTAAGAAATTTTGAGCAAAACCCTGTTTAAAAACAAAAAATTTTTTTTAAATATGCTGAGGCAGATATAGAAATCATCATTTTTTTATATCTAAAGCTTGAAATTCCTTAAAAAGTATAAAGTTTATATCAACTAAGCACTAAAAATATCTGGCACAGCTGTATGTAAAATACAGTTCTGATGATAGTGTAGGTTATACAAAGTAGGCTATCCCGCACCTGTCGTCCAGTGAGATTCACACAGATGCGTTTGCGCAAGACTAGCTGCATCTCTGCAGGATGGCTGAGCTGAACCACGGTACGGATAATCAAGTATACTCTCTGATCTGGGGCGGCACCTCGACTCAGCTGTGGACATTCATGAACGGTGGAGTCCCAAGAAGCTTCGGCTTTCACCTGGAAGAAAAATAGTTTTTAATACATTCCTTTAAAACCAACTAGGGAGTGCGTAGCTCATATTCTCACCTCCCCATCATAGTGTTTGACAATCTGAAGGTCAAAAAATTCATCCTCATCTTCAGAGCTGAGCATGGCATCCCAGCCGCCTGCCTCGGGAACGTCTAGGTTCTCCTGAGAGCTGAAGTCATCAGCTGGAGGAAGGAAGAAGAGAAACACAGGATGGAAAAGTGTGAAAATGAATGTTAAGATAAATAGTGCTTGCAGTGGAAGAAAGGTCACAGAGGACATTGCATTTCTGCAGAGAGTATTGCTGTTTTTAAGCAGGCAGGAAAAACATACCGCTTAGGTCGAGGAAGAGCACTGGAATGTGAGTTTCCATTCCAGGTACTGGTACCCTGCCAACAAAGACATAAAAATCAACCCAAGGGCCAAATACTCATGACTAAACATTTGTAAAAATGTTTAACTGATACTGACATTAATTTACAAACAAAGCCTCAAGTCCAAATATTATTTATTAAAACACATCATTTAAGGTTTATAACAACCTGCCTAAAAAGCAAACTGCACAGAACTGGATTGACATTACATATCATTAAAACCTCTGACAGACAACATGTTTACTAGCTATCTATAACATTATCTAATTTAAGTGTTCAGTGTAAATGCAAATTGGTCGGAATGGTTGTAGCAGTGCTGTACCACTCAGCAGGAGCTCCTGGTATTCCACTGCCAGCAGAGGGCACCATCACTGCATTTCTCTCCTCTGTGAGAGTCAGACGCCACTCAAGCAGCTGAGCCTCCCTCTCCACATCATCCTCAGACTTATCTGGTCATAGAAAGCCAACTAGTCACCATTGATTTCTCTAATTTCATGCTAAGCAAAACCCATTTCCAACTGAGTCCCTTCAACTATACAAATATAAAATATATAAATATAAATTAATTTGAAAATGTATATACACACAATTTATAAAAATTAAAATACATTATACCCTATTTATCTATAAAAGCATTATTTGATTTTATAATAACATTAAACAAACCAAAAAAAGATCAGTGGACATGCAGTGATAAAACACTGCCCAATCAGTGTAGATCTTATTCAGTGAAATCTCTAGCTTTTTTTTTTTTGTGGCTGTCAAGGGAACAAAAAGAAGCTATGTGGGATTTTGGACCAATGCGTGTGTACAAACAGCATACAACATACAAAATCAGATCCACATTTCTTCTGTCTGCTCTATGTCTAATCAGTCTGCTTGTTTCTCAAAGACATGAGCTCCCCAAAGCGAATTAGCAACAAACTAAAGCGAGGAAAGCACTATTTTGTAGTCCATTACTGAGCTAAGACAAGTACATGTGTCTATCTGGTTTTTACCTGTTTTGCTGACCAACATCTGAAGATGTTGGTCCAGATACTCTTGTCTCTTAGTGAGAGCAGTGAGCCACTGACGCCGCAGACGATCCAGATCTCGCTCCTACAGGATGATGGACAAATGCATAAACACAAAAGCTTGTCCATTTCTATTTTGCTAATAAAGGCTTTTTATGTCTTTAATGGGCAGGACAGAGGAGAAAGACAGGAAAGAAGTGGGAGGAAGAGACAGGAATGTGATGAGGAAATGACGCAGATCGGATTCAAAACTGAATCTCAGCAGGAGCACCACAACACCATGAAAAATAATATAATATATAAATATGAAAAATTTATTATTATCAATTACTTACATTAACAACTAAAAAGTCTGTCATAAATGTATTGACATCCAAACATACCTGATAACTGTCCATTTCATCGCCCTCAAGCTAAAAACAAAAATAATATAAACGTTATAGACTCTCAGACAACATTCAGACATCACCCTGCTAAATGCTAAAAGTTTAGGTGAAAAAGAATGTTTACCTCTTGTGGCTCATTGTTTTTAGTCAGCCGCACCTGTCTGATCTCCACACAGCCGATGGACACTCCCAGAATGATCTCTGCTATCAAAGGCATTGTGCCGGAGTCCTGCACTGAACGCACCTCCACCTGAATCCGCCGAGACTGGCCCTGAGAAAGACACACCAAAAAACAGTTAATACCCCATGACAAAAACCCTAAAGTTAAATGTTAAACAACTGTGTTGATAGAATAACAGAGCACAAGTAAAATACAGGTTCACATGCCTAGGAGTCAAAAATATCTACCAAAAACAAAAGCTATAGAAAAGAACACCTCGTTACCATCTGTGACTAAAAAAAATAGTCATAAGGTGCTATGCTTTATTCTGATCATAATAAACAACTATAGACAACAGCTGTGGGCTAACAGACTTACAGCGGTGTAATTTATAATATCCATATAAAATAAACAACGCAGGAACATGTAGTGTCTAACCTGTTTAAGCTGGAAGATGCCCCCCGTGCGAACATCTCGCGCTGGCACCACCTCCACGGGCATGTACTCTCCATTCTCATTCAGCTCCAGAATCTGCACCCACATTTCCAACTTGCGTGTTACCTCGCTCCACCTGAGGACACGTAAGAGTCAAACCAGTCCGAAAAGCAGGAAGCAGATCACTTGATGCTAGACGCCCCAGTGTTTTCTACATTACTGAAAGTTTATATCAGTATAATCGAACAATTACAGGGGGATGATGCTCATGTTTCTGCTCACCTGTCACGTAAAGTGCGTGTTTTGGCCTGGATGATGCTGAGGTCCCACAGTGCAGGGTTCCTGCCTGGATCAGCCTGCCTGTGTCCGAATACCTCGATGGCTACGGCACCCTCTGTTAGATACTCGATAAAATCCTCTGTTACAGTCACAGCATTCTCCTACAGTACAGAGAGTATAGTAAGTAATGCATGTTAATAATTTCTTGAAAATGTACCCTCAGATATAGTTTGTTTCTTTATTAGAAGGGATTTAGAGAAATGTAGCATCACATCACTTACTTACCAATGGATCCTGTGCAATAAATGGGTGCCGTCAAAATGAGAGTTCAAACAGCTGATAAAAACATCACAATAATCCACAGGTAACCCACATGACTCCAATCCATCAATTAATGTTTTTTGAAGCAAAACGTTTTTAACTTCAAACCACTGATTCCAATAAAATACGAGTCCTCTATTGATTATATTGCTTTATACTGAAAAAGTCACCTTGTGAGAAGACACCAGAGGATGGACTTTTTTTTTACCGTAGGAAGTGTTATGAATTCTGGCCAGAAATGACATTAATTAAAATCATCTGAATGATGGATTTGTTACTTTCAAACATGCAGCTTTTCACTTTACAATACATTATTTGATGGACTGGAGTCGTGTGGATTACTTGTGGATTATTGTGATGTTTTTATCAGCTGTTTGAACTCTCATTCTGACGGCACCCATTCACTGCACAGGATACATTGGTGAGCAAATAATGTGATGCTACACTTCTCCAAATCTATTCCAAAGAAGAAACAAACTTATCTACATCTTGGATGGTCTGAGGTTGAGTAAATTTTCGTTTTAGGTGAACTATTCCTTTAATGAACTAAGATGCACAATTACCCAAAGTCTTTAACGCTGAAGGTCAATATTAGTAATAATTCACAATTTGGGCTATTACTGGTTAATTTACCATTTGATTGTAAAGGCACACATGACACATTGACTCGTACCTTACAGCTGTCAAACACGACCATGCAGTGGGGGTCTTTGCTGCTGGAGAAGGAGGCAGAGGGATCCACTTCTGGGGCAACAATGATAGGCTCTGCTTGGTCCCAGAAAGAGTACTGACAGAAGACAAAATTGGACAGGTACTGCGGGAGACCAGTAGCCTGCAGGATCTTAATCTGTTTGAGAGACATGAGTAAAGTAAGTATGAGGTAAGATTTTTAAATATGAACACACTTGTTATTATTCATGTTCGTTAACATGGCATGACTTAAGTTTCTAAAAACTTGCATGCACAAAACCTGCTTCTGCAAACTTCAGTACTCACCATACAGACCAGTTTGCGTTCCTGTACATCGCCGTCTGGGCTTCCATCACTGTCGTCTCCTCCGACTACGCTGTCATCAAATCCTCCACCCATTCTCATCACCTCTACATGCAGCCGCCCAGCAACCTGACATCAGCAACAAGTAAACACAGCACTTGACTGGTCCGCTGAAGATAAACTGTGTGTCTCATGCTTTATATTATGACTCAGTTAGATTCCATTTCACAGATGAAATTGCATTTGATTTAATTTACATACCATTTCATCTTCTGGAAGAAATTTTCTTCAGAAATCAAATGAGTCTGTTAGCGTTAAATATTCATAGCGAGTCAAACCACTGATCATATTTGCCTGACTGCTGCAGACAGATCACATAATCATCCTCACCTCTCCTTTCTGATTGATGATGGGAACCGCATATTGTAGCTTTACATCATAGAACAGGCAGGAGAGGAAAACGTTGGCCACCCCGATTAAACTGTGGTTCACCTGCTCATCGAAGAAAGGGTCGGCTCTCTTGAAGTACGAGCACATCACCTATGAGATGGAGAGAAAAACCACTCCTGTAGTGTTACCTTTTCATTTTTAATGGGACAGTAAAGCGTGTGTGATGAATAAGAGCTTACAGGGTTGTCCTCGTCAAAGTCCTTCCACTCCTGATAAAGCTCTCTCATGTCCACCAGCCGGTTTTCCATCTTCTCAAGGGCCCATATTTGCTTCCCTTTGCCTTTCCTCCTCACCTGAATGGCGGGTTCGCTCAATACAGCGTCTCGCTGCATACACAAACAGAAAAAAGTCACATGACTGCGCCACCAATGCTTATCCTAAGCTTATCCTGTGTATAGAGGGTTTCTGCAAGTTTTAGGAAAAGTAAATTCAAGACTTTTAAGACCATTTTAAAACCAATTTAAAGGAAACTGATGGGAACACAATGTGTCAATATGTTCCCTAAATGTAAATATGGTCACACTTTATTTTAAGGTCCAAGTCTCGCTACATATTAACAAACCATTAACTATTACTTTTGCCTCAAACTCCTAATTTGCTGCTTATTAATAGTTAGTAAGGTAGTTGTTAAGGTATTGGGGATGTAGAATATAGTCATACAGAATATGTACTTTATAAGTACTAATAAACAGCCAATATGTTAATAATAGGCATGCTAATAAGCAACTAGTTAATAGTGAGAATTGGTTCCTATACTAAAGTGTTACTGTAAATATGAGTTGTATAAGTTTGAAAATAAAACTTTCAACAGATTCACTTTACCTTATGATCATGCTGAAAAAACATGATTTTCTTCCTCAGCATTTTTGTCTTGTTTTCCAGTGCAAATGTCTAAAGATTCTTAAGTCGAGATACATAGAGGAGTACAATGATAGAAGAATAGAAGTCTTGTTTTCTGTGAAATCAATCAAAATGAAATGAGTTTACGAGTAAATCTACTGATAAGGTCAACTTAATTCAAAGGAAAAACAAGTTTTCATATCCCGCTGACAGGTATTTGTTCTTGTTTTAAGCCCAAACATTTGGGCTTAAAACATTGTTCGCTTTCTCATAAAACAAGACTTCATTTTGCATTTCAAGTAAATGTATCTCGATTTAAGGATGTTTAAATATTGGAAAACTGGAAAACAAGACAAACATACTGTTGATATTTATTTTCAATGCATGCAACATTTAATGCCATTAGACTTCATAAATTTAAGATTTTCTGCTCCCATTTAAGACCTTTCAACCTTAATTTGTAAGAGCGAATTAAGACTTTTTAAGACCTGCAGAAACCCTTATATGGGTCTAAAATAGTGCTGTCAAACGATTAATCGCGGTTAATCACATCCAAAATAAAAGTTTTTGTGTACATAATACATGTGTGCTGTGTATATTTATTATGTATATATTTCAGAAAAATAGGTTGTTTATATATTAAATTATTTATTTATAATATAAATTATATGAATATAAATATAGACATGTGAATACATGTAAATATTTTCTAAATATATACTGTATGTGTGTGTATTTATGTATGCATAATAAATATACACAGAACACACACACAATACATTATGCAAACAAAAACTTTGGATGCGATCAATTGCGATTAATCGTTTGACAGCACTAGTCTAAAATGTGGCTGACCTTTCTGTTGGCGTTAAGGTTTGCAGCAGGGATCTGTAGAGTAACTCTGTACTCGGTTCTCTTGTCCAGCTCTTCAGCGATGAAGCTCGCCTCCTGCACTAACAGATTAGCCCGTACGATCTGCTCCCTCAGTTTCCTGAAGCTCCGCGTTAGCACCACCTCCCTGGTGTCACCAAAATAAGAGTGTTACAACAACCTCACAATTTACCGAATTTCACCTTGGGATAACAAAACACATTTGTTTCCACCAAAAACTGAAACCTCACCTCTCCTCGCTCCACTGGCGCAAGCGGTGCTGGGAGCTGGGTGATGATGACATTCCTCCCTGGCTCAGTCTCTCCCAGCTGCGGTACTGCGGCTGCAAGGGCTGCGACTGCGGTATCTGCATGCTCTGTCTGTCTGGAGTCAGCTGTTTGCGCAGCTGCTGCAGCTCCTGCTCATACATCAGCCGCTGGCGCTCGAGAGCAGTCCGCTTCTCCTCCTCATGTTGGCGCTCCAGAGACTGCAAAACCGCCTGCATGGGGTCTGTTAGACACAAAAAACAGATACATTTTACATAATTTTGGATCGTGTTTTGACTACTGTACCTTTAAGACTTAAGGTAAATTACCTGTTTTGACTGGCTAACCTTGAGTTAACAGGCCTCTTTAAATGCAAAACAAGTGTCCATATTTTTAATAGCAGCAATGTTCTACTTTTTATAACAGCTGTACCAAAGTTTGGGGTCAGTAAGATTTTTTTTGTAAAAAATGAATACTTATGCACATCAAATGTGACAGTAAAGACAAGTATAAAGTAACAAAAGATTTCCATTTCAAATAAATGCTGTTCTTTCTAAACATTGTTCATCGAAAAATCCTGAAAAAAAGCATCACAGTTTCCACAAAACTATTAAGCAACACAACTGTTTAAAATTAAGTCATATTTCACATACATTTTGTGACTAAAACTCACCGTTGCTGCCCAAAGCCTTCATCATGACTTCAGTCTGAGCAAACTCGTAGCTGAAGCTGACCTCACTGGACACCTCGCTGGCCGTGTCTCCCTCTCCGTCCAGCTGCTCACTGCTGTTACTGTTCTTCATGTTCCCTCCCTCACCTTCCTCTTCCTCACCCCTCAAGCGCCGCTTCGGTAGGTTTATCCTGAAGAAGTCACAAATATAAGCAGTCTTCATAAAAGAATCCATACTGCACTTTCACGTACAAATACAGGAAGCCGCTGTGTGACATTCTTTAGTCTAGGGTAATAACACTGACCTGAAGAAGTGATTGTTTCCCCAAAGAATACGGTCACCATGGTGAAGCTGCTGCCGGCTGGTGACTGGAGATCCATTCACACATGTTCTGTAACAGAGGAAACATCAAGTTACTTTAAAAAACTTAAGATTTAACATTTACCTAGATAACGATTTGGCTGTTAGCTTTTTTTCCTTTAACTTATAGTAATAACTTTTTAGATAAAAGAACTTGTCTAATGCATAAATTTAGATGTACTATACATGCATAGAGCAAAGAAAACCTGCGGTTAAGCATTCATGGATTCAATTGAACCTGTGAGCCTTTTGGTTTACCCATGTCACATCTACACTACTATCCTCAATGCATTACCTTGAGTTTCTGTAAGGGCTGAGAAAGACAGCTCCCTCAGGTGTGATGTTAATGACACAATGCTCTGCTTGGATGCCCATTCCACATAGCTGGATGTCCTGTGAATCTGCTGATCCAACCTTAGTGTGTTCCTGCAAACCATCCCAGCATTAACAGTAGTTATCACTCAGATGTCAAAATCAACACATAACGGATGCCACATTTTCAAGCACCAAATTATAAATTAAACTAGAATAGGTTTTTTTTCTGTAATACTACTACTAATTAATTCAATATTTCAAAAAAGTATTACATATATAAAAATAATAATATGTATATTATATTATAATTAGGGATGCACCGATACCACTTTTTCCAGTACTCGCTCGATACCGATACTTTTATTTTTGGTACTTTCCGATGCCGAAATATTTTAATTGCATTTGTAAATTTTTTAAATATTGGGTACAGACACCAAAAGAGTATGTATAATTTTAGTTGGTAAACTTCATTTATCAAATAGATAGTCAAACCAAAATTTATTCAGACACCTTCAACATATCTCACATTATCACAGTTTATTCGTTATAGTTTAGAAAATGCTAATAAAATATGACAAGAACTCAGAGTTAAACTGTGTCAGAACAAATTCAGCTTGATAATGTCAGATAACTTTGACAGAAAGGTATGTAATGGATTACAATAAACCAAAAGTTATTCATACAGCTGTCAATATTTACACAACTATCAATACTTTGTCGGGTGACCCTTAGCCTTAATGACAGCATATAGTCTCCTGGGCATCCTGTCAACCAGGTTCATGCAAACCTGAACTTAAATTTTTTCCCAGACTTGGTCTAAATAATTTTTGGTCCCAAATTTGTATACATTTTACTGGTAGTCCACTGTATGAAGATTTTTTGGGTATAATATATCACAGTTTAGTTTATTTTGCTATCCTCACTTTACATAAATGAACTATAGTGTCCTGCACCCACTAATAAAAAAATATAAAAAATTATATCTGGTATCTGAATAATTTTTGGTTTGACTGTATATTATTCTGTTATTTTCACACTTAATTATGCCCATTAAAATGTATTTTACAAGTTTTTATTACTTTCACTGTTCATTTTTCTCTCTCTCTATGGTAGCCTACATCATCTTTAATTTAATAGCATTAGAGCTGCTCCATTGCAGCGGCTTTGTACTGTAATCACGCGATTTGCTGTAAAAATGCAGGGAACCACTCGCTATAAATCTCCCAACTGTGATATTTTCATAAACAGAAGTCGCGTTTTTTTCATCCGAAACATGCAGCGATTTATTTTCCAAAGCCACTCATATAATGCAGAAACATTCATGAAGCAAGCAAAACGTGCAAGGCGTGCAGGTATTTGTACTGGTGCAGAATGAGAGGGACAAGTACAGTACAGCCTAGCGCATTTCACACAGGCTGTTAGTTTCACTTTCGCCAGAAAGTCGTGTATGCTTAAGGGTGAAAAATAATGACGTTTACAGTGAATGCCCCTATAAATTGGCTTATATTTACGATTTAGTTTTAATCCAAATGATGCGTGCTAAGTGAGCGAACATCAATAAATATCACACAACAGTGATATCACATAATATCACATAACTCTCTCTATCTCCCTCCCTCCCTATCATTAAGTAACTTGTGCATTGTTTTACTTACTTGTTTTTGACATATCCGACCGAACTACAAACTTTCCAGTGATGTCTGTGAGAAAGCGATATTCACTCGACTAGCTCGCGCATCTGCGCCACCGCACGCTTAATCCACTCAGCGTGCTTTGCTTACCAGCTGGCGCAAATCAGCAATACAGGCATTAATACTGAATGTTTTATATTCATTGCATACATATACTTCGTAGACATCTTTAATCTCTAATAACTCCATTCTGCTGTCTGTTGTCGGTGTTTCTTTGTCTGAATATGGCACTTATCACATACTGTGTGGTATCGGCGTTTGATATCGGGGCATTTTAACGAGTACAAGTACATGAGCTCAGTATTGGGACCGATACCAGTATCGTATCAGTGCATCCCTAATTATAATATATACTTGTTATATATTGTATTACATTAAAACGTGTATAATAATAATAATAACAAACATGCATAATATATGTAATAAGTAGAAAATAATAGAAATAATAATACTATTAATATAATAATGATATACACACAATATACAAAACTCTTAATAAAATAAAATAAAATATTTGTGCATTACCTTTAGATAATAAACCAATAGTTCATTAAGGGCAGGGTCAGCGTTGAGGTTGACCAGGAAGCATTTATCTTCTCCAACCTTGATACCAGATGACTGCAGAGAGATGCCAAGACTCTCCAGCTGTTTTTGTCTCTCCTGTGCAAAGAAAAAAACAATGCGAGAAGAACTTTAGCGTCCTCTTCTGTGTTTGACGGATGGTGTTATGGAACATGAACTACAGAACATCCAGACATAAACAAAATTATAATCCAGACAAAACAGTGCAAATTATTGTTGCTGTTACTTGTGCGATTTCCTCAGTCTTCCTCAGCTTCTCTTCCCAGGTGACCGTCATCTCCTGTATCAATTTCTCCGATTCCTCTAGTCTATCCTTCAGCTCTGGTGCCTTCATAGACTGTACATGGAACATGGCTCTTAACATGCTGTTTTTGACATTTTGCAACTTCACACTAAGAAAATGATCAAAAAAATGTGTACCTCAGCCTGCGTCAGCTGATCTCGCAGTTTCTCCACCTCTTCTCGGAGTTCCCGGATGATCCTGGCATTGGGGTCTTCATTGACCACGGCGTGGTTGACGATGCTCTTTGCTCGGTCTGCATAGCGTAACGTTGACAGCGTCTCATCATAATTATCTGCCGCAGGGCTTACAGTGGCAACCATAGCGGTCCGACTGTTTCCACCCAGACTGTCCTGTGGTTACACCAGAAGGACGGACATTAAACATCAATGCACAGGGCAGAGTGGGCCCTTTCCAGAGATTTTATAAATTCAAAAGTGTGTGGATGGAACGGAATTGGAAAATGTAAAAAATACTGTGGAAATTCCCCTTCATGGTGTTTACCGGACAGAATGAGTGTTCATACCTTAAGCAGCCATGTCAGCACCGAATCTCTGTAGGGCACAAACTTGTTCTTGTTCTTTCCAGCACCCTGGTCTGCCAGAGCTGAGATCACCAAACCCAGAGTGGTTAAAGACCTGTCCAGTGTGGAGAGGAAAGATAGAAATGGAAAAAATAAGTGAGAGAGAAACAGACCAAGGAAAAATACACACTTCACACACAGAAATATGCACTGGCAGGCCAAAAAGCCTTCACCAGATTTATAAACCTTTCTCAGAACAAACTGTGCCCTTAGATGTAGACAATTTAACAACTCTGATTCTCCACAGTATCTTTAATCAACTAAATTACATTCTTAGAGGGCTAAAACATCCAGACACAATATTAGTGGGGAGCTTCGCACTGGAAATGAAGTTTATGTCTACACAGAAGACAAACTTATTTCAAAACAGTTATTTTTCCATGACATGTCTCCTGTAAAAGTCAAAGCACCCATCCAACAGAAAAGGAAAACGCCTCAATTCAGTGCCATAGGAAAATAGTCAGAGGTGACTCAGACATTCAGAGACTAGATTAAGCAAGAGAATCTCACGAAAACATGTCTGGGTCACATTTTACTCTAAAATTGAAAGGGAAAAATTTATAAAATTAGGCATGAAGAAAATGAAGATGATTTTTGGAGCATGTAATTGTTATTTTATCATATTACATTTTTATTAATCATTAATACCTAATTTACAATTAATAATATAATATAACATAATCAATCTCCACATTGCTTGTCCTTGGTAGCGTATAATATAATGTAACATATTATATATAGTAATATGATAGATAACATCAGAAATACAATAGCAAATGTAGATTCTACAGCGTCTAATACTTCAGCTTCATTCATCGCACCCAAAGATAAACTGCAGTGCTTTACAACTATAGGACAGGAAGAGCTAAATAAACTTATCACTGCATCTAAACCAACAACATGCCTGTTAGATCATGTACCCACTAAATTACTGAAAGAGTTGTTACCTGTAGCAGAAGAACCGCTTCTCAATATTATCAACTCATCATTATCTTTAGGTCACATCCCAAAACCATTCAAGCTGGCGGTTATTAAGCCTCTTATTAAGAAACCACAACTAGATCCTAGTGAACTGGCAAATTACAGACCCATTTCAAGTATTCCGTTTATGTCAAACATTTTAGAAAAAGTTGTGTCTGCTTAATTGTGCTCCTTCCTGCAAAAAAATGATCTCTATGAAAAATTTCAGTCAGGTTTCAGGCCCCACCACAGCACAGAAACGGCACTTGTTAAAATTACAAATGACTTGTGTCAGACCAAGGCTGCATCTCATTGCTAGTTTTACTTGATCTTAGTGCTGCGTTCGACACCATAGATCATGACCAGGGCAGGATTTACGGGGCCGGGGGCCCCTGGGCTTGAGGTTATGTTTGGGCCCCATACCTATACTACAAATGCTCCCAACTAGAACATTATTATGGAGTAACACAAAATACACAAAAATTTAAATATGCTTTCAGGTTCATATACTATTCATATACCCATTAGATAGTGAATTGGTGGGTTTTTGTTAAATGTGAACCAAAATCATCACAATTAAAAGAACTAAAGACTTAAACTACTTCAGTCTGTGTGCACTGAATTAATTTAATACACAAGTTTCACAATTTGAGTTGAATTACTGAAATAAATGAACTTTTCCACGACATTCTAATTTATTGAGATGCACCTGTATATTGTAATTTACTTAGCCAGTATTATAAATTAAACTCAGGACCTGAATTTCATTTTATAAACCGCTTCGGTGGAAAACATACAGGTACAGAAATGCTGCAGAAATGGAATAAACTGTAAATTAAAAACAATAAATTCACTGTAAATTAAACAACAGATTAATTCTTAAAATTAAAGTTACAAAAGTTATTCAGTCAAGAGCAGTGAGTGATTTTGCCTTTTGTTGTTAACAATAACCAATAGGCCTAATTAATTAACATTTGGTATGAAAGTGACAGCAGCTTTTAGTATACCTGCTGTCTGTCAGTCTGTGTTAAAGAACAAAACAAAAAAAATCACTCTGCTCAAATCTGCTCTTGACTAAATAACTTTTTCATATTTAATATGGATTAATATATAAACATAATCTTTATCTACGACTTTATACATCATAGTATTTTGTTCCTGAACAGTAGCTAGCAGCTACTGTTAGTTTTAGGCTAGCCTACCTGAAAAAGTTAAAGCACAGTTTGTTTCATTTGTATCCTTGTGCTATTGCTAGTAACTTGTTCATTTATTACTGACCATTTAATTGTCTTTAAGTAACATTATTTATTAAAATGCAAGGTTACTTGAGTCAGAAACAATGAAAACAATAACTTTTTCTGGAGGTGTTTGCGCAGCTTCATGTGTGCGTGCTTTGGATGTTACTGTGAGCGCCCAGAAATGTAGTTTGACGCAGTACAGCTGAACCACACACGCTGTTTTCAAATGATTGACTTAATCTGATATTCTGTGTGAATTTTTTTTAACTCATCTAACTTACATTGTATATTAAATAAATGTTTGCGGGAATTTTCCAAACGTGCAAAACCTGCGAACATGAGTAAAACTAAAATGCGCAATCCCGCACCGAGATTCAGGACATGATTAAACAAATATTCTATTATATAGAGATTTGTAAAATAAATTTCCACGAGTTTTCCAAAGCTTTCTGGGTTTTTCATGACTGTACGAACCCTGTAAATTGCTATTTTATTTTTTTTAATCGTCTTGATGACATTTCTGCTCCACTTTGTGTGGAGGTAGTGAGACGGGACAAAGTCCCTGTAAGATATTAGGGTATTCTATAGTCTTTGGACGTGAGAGAGCACTCAAAACTCTTCAGATTAATTTAGTGGAACATTAGTATAATATAGAATCATCCTCTGTAAAGAAGTGAGGTGTAAACATGTGAAAATGTATCCTTATCTTTGTAAATGTGCGCTCTTTTGGGCTAAAGGCTTAATGGAAGTGTTTAAAGTAGCCATGTGATCACAAATTAATCGGCGATTCGGCGCAGCGCAGACATATTTAATACGCATGTCCTTTTTCTATGTGAAAAAAATCATAAATTCCAGTTTATGCTGTTTGATTATGGCTTTGAATGTCGTAGTTGGAAGCTGGAAGTTGTTAGCCCCGGCTGGCCCGTGCGCGCTGTTGAAATGTGACTAATAATTTCTGACTGGCACATAACTGAACAAATGTAAACGGGTTAAGGCGGGGCTCCTGGGCTGCAGCCCAGTCAAGCCCAATGGTAAGTCCGGCCATGATCATGACATACTCATAGATCGATTACAAAGCTATACAGGTATTCAAGGGCAGGCTTTAAGATGGTTTAGATCCTACCTGTCCGATCGCTACCACTTTGTTTATTTAAATGGGGAGTCATCTCAATTATCACCAGTAAAATATGGAGTGCCACAAGCATCTGTCCTAGGTCCTCTGCTATTTTCAATATACATGTTGCCCCTTGGTAATATTATTAGAACATACGGAGTGCCACAAGGATCTGTCCTAGGTCCTCTGCTATTTTCAATATACATGTTGCCCCTTGGTAATATTATTAGAACATACGGGATTCGTTTCCACTGTTATGCTGATGATACTCAACTATATATCTCAACAAGACCGGATGAAACTTCTAAATTATCTAAACTAACAGAGCTAGAAAATATGAAAAATATGTTAAAAATGTAAAAATGTGTTATGAATATGTTAAAAATTTAAAAGATTGGATGACCAATCATTTTCTCCTATTAAATTCGGATAAGACAGAGATATTACTTAGCCCAAAAAAAAAAAAAAACAGTACACAGAATCTCTTGGATTACAATTTGCAACTAGATGGATGTAATGTTACTTCCTCTACAGTCAAAAATCTGGGTGTTATATTAGACAGCAACTTGTCTTTTGAAAATCATATTTCCCATGTTACAAAAACAGCATTCTTCCATCTTAGAAACATGTTACCTGTTTCTGATGCAGAAAAGCTAGTTCATGCATTCATGACCTCTAGACTGGACTATTGTAATTCACTGCTAGCTGGTTGTCCTGCATCTTCAATAAACAAGCTACAGGTAGTCCAAAGTGCAGCGGCTAGAGTCCTTACCAGGTCAAGAAAATATTATCATATTACCCCAATTTTACAGTCTCTACACTGGCTACCTATTAAGTTCCATATCAGTTACAAAATATTATTATTTACCTACAAGGCCCTTAATGGTTTAGCTGCTGCGTACCTAACTAGTCTTCTACCATGCTACAATCCATCACGCTCCCTAAGGTCGCAAAATTCTGGACTTTTGGTAGTACCTAGGATAGCAAAGTCCACTAAAGGAGGTAGAGCTTTTTCGCATTTGGTTCCCAAACTCTGGAATAGCCTTCCTGATAACGTTCGGGGTTCAGACACACTCAAAAAAAATGTGTCCAAATGCAGAAAAAAAAACTTTTTCAGGCTTCCTTTAAGTTAAAAATAATTTTAAATTTTTTGGGGCAAAGTATCGATTGGACTTGTTCTTGTTCTTCCATAAGATTAATGCAAAACCACTGCAGGTTTGTACATTCATTAAAAAAAATACCAAGACAAGACAGATAAAAAAAACACAAAGAAAGGCATCATGCAGAATGAGTCAAGGTTGCACACACTTGTTAATGTTGCTGCCTTCCTTGAGCCGCTCGCCTGCAGCGCCAGTCTTTGCAGCTCTCTCACTTCCTGCCAGGTCCACCAAACTCAGCTTACTCACCTTTTCCCCACTTGTCTGTAGAAAGAGAAAAATAACAAAAAAAGAAATGAGACGCTACATTCAAAATTCAAAATTGTATACTGCTTACTGCATAATATACACTGGCTACTTTTTTTCGGAATAGCATGTCACTTGACCTCATTACGTGTATGTTTCCATGATTGGCGCCTAGTTATCCTGGAAATAAACAGTGAACTAGCAGTGGCAGGAACTCATAAAAAAAGCAACATAATAATCCCTCACTACAGAACATTTCCATGGTTGTCATTCCTGTCTGTGCTGGTCCTCCCTAGAAACGGCTTTAAATGTTAAATTTGTGTTTGAATGACCACGCTGGACAAATTCTGGTGAGCTGTCCTATATTATGAAGGAACAATGACAAGAGAGGCTATAGTGGGCTGTAGACAAGCATCCATTGTTCTCCTCTCTATTGCACAGCATTGGAGCAGTATGTGGGGTGGAGTTCCTTTATGTGCCCCAGCATCAGACCTTACTGTACACAATCCCTGTTTGAGCATCAGAGATGAGGTTTAATTAAGAGGAGAGGCAGAGAGACGGGAGTGTGAGCTGAGAGGATATGGGAAGTCGTGAGGAGGGGGGACTGAGCTGGACCGAGATTACAGTGCATTACAGCAACAAAGAGAGTCCTTGTGCTGCGAAGGCTTCAGGCTCCACATGCACATTGGCTGAGAATACACAATCATATAGAGCCAGAGTTCATTCAATAATCTATAATCAGCTATTTAAAGGAGACATATTCTGCTCTTTTGTAGCATTTTTTTTTCCTTCTTTAACTACACTCAAGTTACTTCTTTATGACCCATTTCCACCTTCTCTTTGACCTTTAGAACGAACAGGCTGTTCTTGCTACTGTACCTTTAAGACTTCTAAATATGTGAGTGACCTCTACAAGCACATTGTTATGAGTAAACCCCTCACAACACATTAGCAACTGCATAGCGAGGCAGTGACAACCACTCAGAACACCCTAGCAACTACAGAGATAGCCTACATATTAATCCAAAAGAACGTATTAGCAACTACATGGAAACGCCCTGGAAATCACCAAGAACACCCTAGAAACCACATAGCAACAAGGAAACACCCTGACAACCACTCAGAACACCTTATCCACCTTTTAACCATACATTAACCCTCTCAGAACGTCATAGCAACTGCACAGCAATGCCCTGAACACCACTTAAAACACCATAGAAACCACATTGTTATGCACTAACTACTCATAACACCTTAGAAACTGTGTAGCAACACCCCGATAACCACCCAGAACACCTTATCCACCTTTTAACCATACGTTAACCCTCTCAGAACACCTCAGAAATTGCACAGCAAGACCCTGACAACCACTCAGGACATCCAGCAACCTTATAGCTATCCATTAACCCCTCAGAACACCATAGAAACTACATAGCAATGCCCTGAAAATCACCTAAAACACCGTAGCAATCACATAGTCATGCATTAACCACTCAACACATTGCAACACCCTGACAACCACCCAGAACACCCTAGTAACCTTATAGCCATGCACATAGTCATCAGACAACCATATAAACTACATAGCAACACCCTGACAACCACTCAGGATACCATAGCAATCATATAACTATGCATTAACCTCTTAGAACACCATAGAAACGGTACATAAATTCCCTAAAAACTACCTAAAACACCCTAGAATCCACACAGCTATGCACTAACCTTAGAAACTGCATAGCAATGCCCTGACAACCACTCAACCTTTTGAACAACCTAGCAACTTTATAAAATGTTATGAGAGGTTATGTGCATAACTATAAACTACATAGCAACACCCTGACAACCACTTAGGACTGCCTGGCAATCACCTAGCCATCCATTAACACCTCCGAAGACCACAGCAACTGTACAGCAATGCCCTGAAAACCACCTAAAACACCTAGCAACCACAAAGCTAAGCATTAACCACTCAGAACACCTTAGTAACTTCATAGTAACACCCTGACAACCAACCAGAACACCTTAGCAACCACCTAGTTATGCAGTAGCCCCTCAAAAAACTTTAGCAATTACATAGCAATGTCCTGGCAACCACTCCGAACACTCTGGCAACTGCATAGGTACACATTAATGCCTCAAAACATTTTAGCAACTGCCAGAGCTGGGTAGATTACTTACTTGTACCATATCGATATAAAAATGCAAAGAAAAAGAAAATATATTCCATTCCAAGTGCCTTAAACATTAAATTATGTCAAGGTTTCCCAAACTGGGGTTCGTAAACTAACTGCAAGGGATTTGTGAGTTTAATGAAAACCAAAGAATTAATTCAATCATAAAAATGTAAAATTAGAATAAGTTATTAATTAAGCCATAATTTATTGCTACTGAGTAAATAATATGTAATCTATAAAAAAGTAACTGTAGTCTGATTTAGAACATTTTAAAATGTAAATTAATCCAATTACAAGTACTTAATTTTTTTAATCTGACTACGCAATCCAGATTACATGTAATCAGTTACTACCCAGCTCTGGCAACTGCATGGCAATACTCTGGGAGAACCCACAAGTGTTGACTAGTGGTGAGTTTACACAGTCAAGCACAGACAATGTAAAAATCTTATTTTTAAGGAGCTGTTTTCCATAATATGCTAAACACAGATTTTAATACAAAAGAATATGGAAATCCGAGGTAATCTACTGGCTCACATTTCCCAACAGCACTGCTTGCATGGAAAAGCACAGCATGCAAAAGACAGCACTGATGACTGCGCTGGAAAAATACACACATCATTACTTATCGATGACTGAGATGGCAAGCAGCACATACATGAGGGCTGGGTTTGGTGCACGGGTATGTGCATAGAGGCTAAAACTTGATCATTGCTCTGTTTTAGTGACAACATGCTAAGTTTAGATCTTGCACCTGTTGAGTGGCCAGCACAGTCCAGGCCCTGATGAATTATAGATTAGGGGACTGGACACAAGTCGAATCAGGTGATCATGACATACGGCACAAAAGAAAAGCAAAGTGACACCAGGACAGCACAAGAGGAGATCAGCTGACGTCTAAACTCGGACACTCTATAATTTATTCATCAATTTTCCTGCCATTTGCATGAGCTCTCTCCATACTCACGATAAAGCCGATAAGGGAAGGTTTACTTGGTCCAGAGTGCACTTAATGGTACAAGATCATTGGAGATGCATAAATTAAATGAATTATGCAATATTATAAATAGGAAACAACCGGTAATGATCCAAAGTGAATGGAGCAAAGGCAAGGGTGGTGTAAAAATATAACATAAGAGGAACATTTGAGACTTAACACTGGACTGTGCCATAACAGGTCCACATCAGCTGATAAAAGGTATTCAATACATCCCATCTCTGAGATCATCAGGGCTGGACATGATGACTCATCTCTCAATCTTCCCCTTCCTGCAGCACTTGGCTTTATTTCATGAGGATCTTGCAAGAACATTCAAGGTCTGAGTTTTATCATCAAACAGCAGAATCAGGACTGTTCCCAAATTAAATTACCCTAACAAGGTTTTCCTTGCTCTTTTCAAATGAAAGAGTTTGAGGACAGACTCTGATGTTCTCAACCCAGGCCACCCAGACCATTTACAATACCAAAGCTACAAAAAAACTAGTAAATCAGAGAACATGGTTGCAAAGTTGAAAATACATTAACATGACCACCATCATTTGCATAGTCATGTTTATTCAGAAATTTTACCCAACCTGATAACCAAACTATGCTGGTATGCAAAGGTTAGCCAATCATAAAGAAGGTCCTTTACATGAAGTCTAAAAATGTACAGCAGTAAAAGCTAAGGGTGCAAAATGGTAATGATTATAAGTTTTATGGTGCAAGAAACTTTGTCTAACATAAAAAGTGGACTTAAAAAATAAAACCTGAAGTATGTAGGGTGTGACCCATTTAAGTGATTTTCCACTTGTATTCTCTTGCATCTAAATCTTAATATATGAAAATCAGCTTTAGAACAGTGTGTGTAAGTGTGTCCTTACCCCCGACTGCAGGTCCTTTAGTGTGTGCGTGAGGATGATATTGAAAACGGCATGGGAGCGACTGCTTTCCTCATTCATATTGGTGGCCGCCACAGTGCGGGATTTATTCCCCTCAGACATCAAGGACTCAATGTCCTTTGGGTAGGAGAAGGGACACGATTAGAATCTCAGACATGCGTTAATGGTCAGAAATACTGCACACTTGTGCATACTTATTTTTTTGTTTAAAAAAAAAGCAAAGCAGTAAAGATGTCCTGAATATGACCTCTAAAAATAAGGCAGGTACAATGCTGATGAATTATGGTTACTGCAAAGTAACCCGTTTTTAGGTTTTGAACCGAGTTAAATAGGGCTTCCACAATGATCACCTATGGAATCTCTGGAATTCTACAGAATGGATTAAAATTTGTACAAATGTGTTAATCCAAAGCATTGAACACATTAAACTGATTTATACTCAACATAATTTAGTAGAATTAAAAGAATAGGTGACATATTACACAATTCCATGCATCAAATTCTGCAAAAAGCCATGGAAATATGTTTTTAGAAAGGCTTTAGAATGACAAAGATTTCCATAAGACCAAAAACATCAGCAGTGACACATGTCGTATTGTGAGCTGACTACAAACATTCCTACAGTGGGATTTGCTAAGCATCAACTGCAGACCCAAAGAGGGGATAACTGAGCCACATGATCAACTAAACGACAGTATATATTGGGAAAAAAGGAGGTGAAAGTTCAAACAGTGTAAAGCATATGTTATTCCACCATTAAAGATATTTTTGTCCTATTTTGTTACCTTGTAACTTTCTACTGCAAGCCTTGATAGACCATCAACATAAGGCCCCAAAACTTTATGCTCTCTCACTCTTAAGGCCTGTCGACTCCTGTGGGAAAAACGGATATTGTGTAAGATCGACATCTACAGCAGAGTAAAGCTCAGAGATTCTACATGAGAAACAATAGGCTTCACCCTTTGGGGTCCAACAGGTCCCGGACTTTCTCGTTGTAGATTTCCATATAAGAGACTTCCACGGTGAAGCACTCTTCCTCTCGCTGGTGTTGAATGGTCCGCTCAAACAGAGAACTGCAAAGTCTGGGGATCAAACCAGGTTGGTCTGCCGAACCCATCATGGTGTATGACTTCCCAGAGCCTGAGGGAAATTACATGTTCTCATGTTACTTAAAATAAATACTCGTCAAGTACTTGAAGGGGTCATCGGATACCCATTTTCCACAAGGTGATATGATTCTTTAGGGTCTTAATGAAAAGTCTAAAACATACTTTGGTTAAAATTTCTCAATGGTAGTGTAAAACAACACCCTTTTTACCCTGTCAAAAACAGCTCTTTTCAGAGCAAGCCGTTTTCTTGCATGCCACTTTAAATGCAAATGCGCTCTGCTCACCCCACCCCTCTGTTCCGAGCCGCTCTCTGAGAGACGGTAAACTTTAGCCACATTCATCGTGAAACTTGCTAACTAGCACGTTATTAGGAAAGGCGATTTGTAAAGATTCATTCAAAAAAAAAAAAACATATACTCACTTCTTCTGTAGGTGAAGCTGGATCACGAATGATTCGTGCGAACATAGACGCATTTAGGTAGATCGGGGGGTGCATTCCCTTCACAAACAAACGTAATCCACTGCGTCTTCAGCAGCTCAGATGTCGGGAGTAAATGACAACTGCTATGTTCATTATTACATCCAACAACATAAAACCTCAATCGCTTAGGAGTCATTCTTGTCTACATCTGCTCCGGCGTCGAAACAGTGGCGGACTGATGACAGCTCACTCAGGGCAGGTCAAAGGTAAAACGCTAGTGTCAATCAACTATCGTGGGAGGGCCTGGGTCAGTGTGACGTCACACAGACAAGAAGCTGAAAACGGTTTGATTTGAGAAAGGGGTAATGATTTTAGTAGATAAAAAAAAAAAAACACTGGGTGGATTTTTATCATTATAGGGTGCTTGTGTACACACACTGCCAACATACATTTATGTTCAAACAACATGTAAAAGTGCATTTCGCATCCGATGACCCCTTTAACATAAATAATCACATTACAAAAGAAGAGTGGTTATGTTTAGAGTGCTTTTAAAAAAACTGAGCAAAGGTCATTGCGTACAAAGCATTACTCACCAGTCTGCCCATATGCAAAAATACAGGCGTTGTAACCCTGAAAGGCATTGTGCAAAAGACTCTCCCCAAGGCACTGAAACACTACATCTTGGCCTGTTAAAATATGATTGAATGACAATTAAGACAGACGTCCATAAATGTGAATCTTACAAGAACATTCAAGTGATGTATGACTCTGAGATAACAATTCAACTAAACTAAGGTTATGGTTCTAAAAATAGGCTTCACTGTAGCTTCAAAATGATTCATCATGTGAAGGAGAGAAACAGAGGAAAACAGGAGAAACCATGTATGGCTGTGCTGAAGTGCATGATGACACCTAAACAAATACAGCTTTAAAAAAAATGGCATAATGAAAAAAAATGTATGTCCCTAAAAATAAGAAAAAAGGGTTTATTTTTATATTTACATTTATATATATGTAGCGAATCAGCTCATGGGAAATATGAATAATTAACCATAACTAATTATGATTAATTATTAATATTTTAGATCCACTGTAGATATTTAGCTGACCACTCAGGGTCAACCGTCTTGTCAATTCTAAGAACGTTAATTTCCTGGTTAAAGGAAATAACTTTCTTACTGTACAATTCTATAAGTTTGTAACGTAAATCTGCATGATTATTGACTCCGGTTATGAGTAAACAATGAACACGTCAAGTGTGATACAAGTAAGGTTTTATTAACTACATAAACACTTAAACTAGTCTAACATACTACATAAACACATTAAGCCGGTCTAACATACACATACACACACACACACATACAGTTGGTATAGGAAAGGGTTAAAGTTTAGCACTAAAGAAAGAGACATAAGGAATGACATGTAGCGAATTTAACTCATGGGAAATATGAATAATTGACCATAACTAGTTATAATTAACTATTCATATTTTAGATCCACTGTAGATATTTAGCTGACCACTCAGGGTCAACTGTCTTGTCAATTCTAAGACGTTAATTTCCTGGTTAAGGGAAATAACTTTCTTACTGTACAATTCTATAAGTTTGTAACGTAAATCTGCATGATTATTGACTCCGGTTATGAGTAAACACTGAACACGTCAAGTGTGATACAAGTAAGGTTTTATTAACTACATAAACACTTAAACTAGTCTAACATACTACATAAACACATTAAGCCGGTCTAACATACACATACACACACACACGCACACATACAGTTGGTATAGGAAAGGGTTAAAGTTTAACTCAGCATAGAAAGAGGCATAAAGAATGGATTTTATGGAACACTTTGCTTGTATATTCAACAGATCAAAGCCTTCAGGGATACGTCAGATTCTGAGTTCAAACACACCTTTGTAAAAAGGTGTAACTGATACTTAATGCATCAATTAAATCGACTAAGTTTGATACTTGCGTATGTCTGAAAAAGATTCCTGATGCAATCTTAAGGTCCAAGATCTTGCTGAAATTAGTTGATGAAAAGAACCAGTTTGAGTCAGTGTCACTTGATGAATGGAAAGGACAAGGCCGAAGCCTGGCACAAGCTTAGCGTTTCCGGGAGCGTTTGTCTCACATCTTCTTAGCTTAAGACCGAACCACCGACTGGGGCGGGTCCCTGGAGCCGGGCCTTTAAGGTCGGAGAAGATCTCCGCCTTTCAAGATGGGCTTGTCCAATGAGCAAAATGGAATTTCCGAGCGGGAGGTGGCAATTGCTGGAGGGTTTACGACCCTTTGTTCTCGAAGCATGGTAATTTGCAAATGGACTTAAATCGAAATTATTAACGATTCTCAGGGCCCTAATATATTTTGCCTATGTACCACCATATAATATACCCGCTTGTTTCGATCATAAGAAGGCAAATTCATAGATACTAAACAAGGTAAGATTACATATAGTGAAAAGGGAGGATCAAGAATGGGTCCCCTCACAAGCATACTAAAATAGTCTAAGAATATCAAAGACAAAATACACAATGACAATAATATACTCAATGGCCTGAAGAAATATGTGTGTTCATTCAAATAACGTTTTTTCTATGAATTAACTAGAACACAGTCCATTTCTACTCTGCTTTTCCTTGGGACAAGAGTGGGCTATCCTTCTCACATTCCTGGGGGGTCATAAAACCAGTGATATCATGATTAGTTGTCATGGTGACCAGAGCGCCTGGTGTTCAGCAGACATCCTGGCATCCAGTTAATTGAGTGAGGGGACTGTGACGATTTGTTAACCTAATGAATAATTGATTTGTTAAATCAAATTAAAATTAGTGTGTCAGATTGGTCGAGACGCTACATATATATATAACTTTCTGTCCTGTAGATAGAGTGCCATGACTTGAAACTGTACTGAAAACCTCAAGGTGATACGCTGTAGATTTTCTGGAAAAACCTTGTTAGTACAAATGATCTTGGTGTAAACAAACCCTTATCTTCACTAGCACCACCAGCACCAGCGCAAGAACCATCAAAAATTATACAGATGAGATATTTGGTATTGAACCAAAAAACAAAGTGGCTTCTTCAAGAAGTGTTTCCAGAAACTGACCAGCAAACTTCTCTGTCTCCGACTCATCCATCGACCAAAAACAGTAGTCATAGGCGAAGGTCTTGACAAAAGGGAGACAGATAGATAGACATAAAAATGGTTACTCTCTGTTTCCACTTGTTCTATTCTATTAAACTTGTATACTGTATGAATGTTTTATCAAACTTGTATTTTGTGTGATGTAAGCATGTTCATTTTAGACAGAAATGAGGGTCATACCTTTGGCTGACCCCTGCTGCAAGACGATCCAAGGAGAGGGGGCATATGGGAAAAGACAGAAAAAGAGTTTGTTTAAAAACAAATCACATATGCATGTACTTTAGAAGAATGCACAATTTCAATGTGGCTGCGCTGAAGTACAAGATGACAAGTAAGATTCTGTATAAACAAAAAAAAATCCATGTGTTATTTTGGATGTGATATCATGAAAATATTATTAATACTACTGTACATATACAGTACCAGGATTCAATGCAATGGTATTATTAGAGTTCTATTTATAGCATAATATTTACACTGGCAGCCAAAAAAATTGAATAATTAAGAATGGGGGGGAGGGGGGGGGGGGTTAGGGTACCCCAGCCTGCTTTTTTTTAATGAAAAA